TTGAAATGTTTTCATTCATCCACTCTGCACTGTATTTTACCAAAATCCCAATTGTTTACCAACTCTTCCATAAAACAACCAGATAGAACAAATAAACATCGAAAATCATATCTGCAGAGAGTATCCAAATTTGTTAATCCATCCCAATCCCTCAACAGACTTCGTCCTAGGTTTATATTCCAAACCGATGTATCCAGTGTACCCTAATCCCTCCAGAACTGAAAAAATGTATCTGTAATCCAATTCCCCTGATGTGTCCGGTTCATGCCTATCAGGTACCTGAGCCACTTGGACATGCCCTAAAAAAATAATTAATAAAAATGATTAAATGATCAAATAACAACAGCTCCCTCCATAAAAATTATTAACAAAAAATTCTCATTATAAAAATATTTTCCTTTTCCATTTTTACGTACCTAAGTAATTGAAATTCTCCTTAATCGTATTTGTAACGTTTCCCTTGAGATGTTGCAGATGAAAAATATCGAACATGAGTTTCAAGTGAGGACTGTTGATCTTCTTCACAACCGCAAGTCCTGCCAATTTTTTCTCAAATTTTAATCAACTCATTTCGAGTTTATATTTACCAATATACCTTTATCATAACAATTCATGTAATAATTTGGTACTGAATAGCCATTGATGGGTTCGATGAGTCCAATGATTCCCTCCGCCTTGAATTTATCCACTGCATACCGCAAATTTGCTTCATAAACTGTATCATTGATTGGTGAAGGGTTTTGAACAATTCCAGACATCACGTGAATCCTTAAAAGAAATTCTGTTAATAAAAGTCTCAGTCTCTATTCGTTATTTAACTATCGATTCATGTAAAAAAGAAGTGCATCTGTGCAATTGTCCACCGGTTACATATTTTCACGTGTGAGTGCATTTTCAATATATCTGACGTACTTTGAACACCTCAAAGCTTTTGCGTAGTCAATAGTCAATTGAATGCTTTTCCTGAAGTCTTCCTCCTTTCCAGGAATCGCAGCAAACCCCAATTCTCCTTTGGAGACATCTCCTAGAGTCCAACAGAAATAAAATATTTTAAATTATTGATTTCTCAACTTTTTAATTCCAATTCTAACTCCTCTGTCAATTAATATAATAAATATGTGAGACCTGCATGCTTTTTATAAATTCGTGGAGTTTTCGAATTTTTCCATAGGGACTGGACAATTAAATGAAAATACAATTAATTTAATTGGAGTAATTGAATCCAATTGTTCAATTGATTTCTCCTCACCCGTGAAGACGTTTATCAGCACTTGATCAACTTGTGCGGCTTCTTTAGCCTGCGTCACTTGCTGAATTGAATATCCAAAAGGGAATCCACTCTCAACAGCCTGAAAACCTGCGTCTCTGGCTAATTGATATCGTCCAATTAAACTTGGACACTCGGTGAACATGAAACTCAAATTGCTCGCGAATTTCAGACTCATCGCATCGGATAATCTACAAACAGAGAAGTTTACAATACAACAAATCACTTATGCTTGTGAATATTACGTCATTCCATTTATCGTTACCGATTAGCTCCAACTCGTGGCCTTGATAATAGAGAGCATTGGGATATTGATTGTTTCTCGGTTGAGGGCCAAAACGTAATTAGTCTGGTTGCATTTATATTCGACTTTGGATTCTAGATCATTTATGATTTTCGTGACTGAGGAATTGGATGGCATGTCGATAATAATAATAATAAATAATTATGCGCCAGTGGCACCAACTCTAGTCGACTAAACGGATTCCATTTTCTCCGTCACTTCGCAACTTCAATTCATTCGTAATCATTCCACTAATCCCGTAATCAATCAATCGAATTGATCACCGTTGATCGATGATTAATATTATTCATTGAAATTAATTGTATGAGTTTCATATTATTTATATAAAAATTATATATCATTTCTATTGAAAAAAAAGATCTGTGTAAATAGGGAATAGGTTTCAATGAGTTTTGAAATTGGTAATTGATCACCAGGTCGAGGTCCTGGTTCATCAGGATCCTCTGAGTGCGAATGTAGATGTCCGTATTGTTTATTGATATTCCAGTAGATTCAAAGAAACCCCATAAAACGATTCCAGAAAATTTCAAAACAATTTCCCTGGAACCGCCAGCTGTCATTGATCGTCGGAATTTCCGTCACGAAGAAGCGCTTGCGCTGGAAGTCACCCGACGACCCTTAACACCACATTGGATACCACCGTGAATCCAGTCCATTGGTGATACCCATTGACTCCAATTCACCTGCCCCAGAGTCTCCAAAATATCCACCGAATAACGAGTAAAAGTCATCACCACCAGGCGAAACCCACAAATTGCTCCCTAAGTAAATTAAAAATCATAATCAAAACAAGAAAAAAAGGTAACAAATCACCAGGAGTCGCAGTGAAAGATCCCCCAAGTGGGTAGACCCTTGGATAAGGCAGACGAGCGATAAAAATAATAATAAACCCCAACCCCCCCCAAAAAAAAGAAGAAAAATTGGTAAAAGTATCGAAAGACCTAGAGCTCAAATGTATAACGGCCGCCGTTCGAAGGCGTCGAAGAAGAAGTCAGGATGTCGTTGCCGAGAGAGTGGAGTTATCACCAGGAGTCGAGGACCATCGCTGATCCCTATACAAATGGAACACAGTCACAAGATCGCGTCGTACCATCGGAATCACTCGTTGACGAGAACCTGAAGCAACCGAATTCCCTCGGCTCGTTGCTATCGATACACTCAGCACCAGTTTATGAAGTTGCAACGGGCACATCATCACCAACACGACCAGCATCACTCGTTGTTCAAGCAACAGCAACATCAACACCGGTAGTACCACCACATCTAAGTCCTGAGACCAATGACGACGAGGACAATGATAATCTACTGACTATTTCGAGCTTAACCGCACGTCCTCTCATCGCCAAATCACGTGAAATTCGTTCGTCCAAGAGATTTGCCGAGAGGGGCAAGAGGAGGCACAAAAATTTACGACCGAAAAATGCAACTTATGTACCACTTGATGGAGGATATGGATGGGTTATCGTCGGTGGAGCTTTCTTTGTTCAATTCTGGGTTGCTGGACTCGTTAAATCCTATGGTGTACTCTACGTCGAAGTTATGGAGACATTCAAGGGCTCATCAGCTGCTGTCGCTTCTTGGATACCTGCTATTTTATCGTGTCTTTGTCTTGCTCTAGGTAAGCATTGTTTTTGCTATTTCAAAACACTCCGACCTCATCAGGATGAGATGCTAACTTTCAATTAATTTCCCTCTATTTATCATCGAAATACTCAGCAGAAAATATTCCATCCAAAATTTTATAGAATTTCAATTTTTCATGGGAGTGACTTCCTTCAAATATTTTATCAATTAAAAATATCAATTTTACTATAATAATTTTAATTCGTCGAGTAATTTTCATGATTCATGAAATTTAGTCGACCATTTCTTGAACATTGGGACTGATTAAACTGTCATGACAAGACGAGCTCGTTGACAGGTTTCGTCGCCATATTGTCTTATGTAGAACCAAAAGGCCGTATGGCTGTTGTCGACAGATAATATATTTTCAATTGCATCACCGGACTGTAATTGCGCTCATTGCGGTATCGATCACATCCAAATATTGTTTATGGGTTGAGAAGAGCCTAGCGTGTTTGGTGACAGTTGATGATTGCAATTACGGAGAAACCTCCCCTTCCAGGGTATAATTTTGTCTCTTCGTGAGAGCGCCGGAGATATCGCCGTTTTATCATTCATTTTTTTGCGAAATTTCGAGGGACGATGGAGAATTTATCCGAGCGGTTTGTACCTGGAGCTATAATAGCTCATCAACAACTGAAATAAAAATAATTAATTTCCACTTGAGTCCATCTGAATCCCCTATTTAAAATCAATACTCCATTTTTTTCATCGAATCTGATTAAAAACAATATTATTACATTTAAAAACTTGAAGTATATTATATAACTTTGAAAATTCTAAAAAAATAATACACTTTAAATCATGCAGTCAAAATGATTTGACTTTCATGATTCCAATCATAATAAAAAACATTGTTTTTTTACGGATATCACAAGTCTCAATAATGAGCTCTCGTTATTATCGAAATGGCTGCCAATTTACAGTCCTCAATCGATCCTCGAAATTGAATTGTACTTATCCAGCCTCAGCATCCCCTCGATCCACCCACGATTTCCATTCCGCATCCCAAAAAACAGAACAATCTTTTTACCCACTGCAATCTTGGCTTTCGATCGTCACTCTGCACCAGGTCACTGGGTCACCGCTCCATCCCTCATTGTTCATAAACTGCGGACAGTTTCTCTCCCAATAATTCTGAAAAACAAAAAAATGAAAAATGAAAAAAGGATAATTTTATATTTTCAGCACCAGTTACTAGCATGCTTTGTCAAAAGTACAGCTGCCGTGCCGTGGTATTCGTCGGTGGACTTTTCTGTGCACTCGGTTTGACTATCAGCTACTTTGCAACGAGTCTAGTTCATCTGTTCTTCACCTTCGGTATTTTAACAGGTACGTAACGACAAAAGATTATTAAATAAATCATTAATATCATGATAAAATGATAATCAGGAGTTGGCGGTGGTCTCTCGACAACTCCTGGAATAATAATAGTATCCCAATACTTCGATAAACATCGTGCCCTGGCGAATGGCATCTGCGTGTCAGGAACAGCAGCAGGAAGTTTTGTATTTCCCCTGTTGATCGAGACCCTAGTGGCAAATTTTGGATTTCACGGTACAATTCTTCTCCTGGGTGGCTGCATGCTCCACGTCTGCGTCTCTGCAACCCTCTACCGACCCCTAGAAGACAATCCATCAGCGATGGTGATGACAGTGAGTCAGGGTATAATCGACAACATATCAGAGACGCCACCCACCAAGCAGCAGAAGCTTGAGCTACTATTTGCCAATGATTCCACAGCCCGACACAATTTATTCAACGAGCTATTCCACCAGAATAGTGTTGCTGCTGTAGAATTAACAGACAGCGAAGAAGAAAAGGACATAATGGGTGAGGGTATGAGAATGAAGCCCATCTCCAAGATAAGGAGTTCGAGTATACTTCACAGCGTTGAAGACCTCTCAACGGATTCAACTTGTGTTTACAAAGCGAGATCATCACTGAGATCGCTCAAATCAGTGCCCTTCGTCACTGGACCCATTAAAAATCCAGAACCCATAGATTTACCTGAAAAAGAAATGAGAACCAGTGTCTCCCAGAAGATTGCCCAGTACATTGATCTCAGCTTGCTGAAGAATCCACAGTTCATCATGATGTGTCTGTCTGTCACACTGATGAGCACTGGTAGCCCTTACATGCTGTATTATCTGCCAGCTTATGTCCATAATTCTGGATACTCCAAATCGGAGGCTGGATATCTTGTTGCTATATCTGCTGCTTTGGATCTTTGTGGAAGACTCGGACTTGGATGGCTCTCTGATCTACAATTGTTTGATCGACGAAAAGGATACATTGGGAGGTGAGATAGTTTTCTCTTGAATCGTTCATTTTTTTCCCCTTGGTGTTGAGAACATGAGGAATTTTATGACTGAAATAATTTATATTTGTTCGTAGTATTGTCGGTGCTGGTGTGGCAGTTCTGGCGATTCCCATGGCTCATTCTTTCTACGTTCTTGTGTGCTCGGTGGGAATGTACGGTTTGTGTCTCGGCTGCTGGTTCCTCCTGGTGCCAGTGCTGCTAGCTGATCAATATGGCGTTGAGAAAATATCATCCAGTTATGGTCTTGTCAGGATGTTTCAAAGTATCGGAGCCATCTCTATTCCACCTCTTGCAGGTAATTATATTTATTTTATACATCACTTGTTGAGATGATCATTAAATTCTATTTCAATTAAAAAATCGGCCAATTAGAAAATGTCAGTGAACAGAATCACATGTATTCATTGATATATCTATTCCAAAATATATACCATGCACCTGTGGATCCTCCAAACCAAATTCGCGGTATAGTGGAAAATAATTGGAATAAGACATTAGATCATTGACCGATTATCAATGAAACGTATCCGCAATGGTGTACGCATCGTGTGTACATTGTCATGCGCAATTGTTAAACTTCTATGACTTCACCGATATCAGCCATTCAGTGTTGCATAATTTTGTGTGGGTGCAGAGGAGTAATCAATATATTTGAGCAAAACTGAAACAGCTGTGAAACTTCTTATTCTGCTGTCCTTGATTATAACATTTACTGTCAAAGGACAATAGACACACCCTCCCTCGATTTAATTATGAGGGAAGTGAACATCTGGTTTTCCATCGTGTCATTTTATTTTTGTTAATGATACTAGAATATCTTTTTAAATGTCAATTCTCCCTCGGTAATGGATTGATCAATTAATTCATTGAGTAATTTCCATTAATCAATTCAATAAACGAACATAAAAGTCATATTGTAATGATAAGTCATAAAAAATCATTGGCATTTATCGTTAGGAGGACCGATATTCAATGTTGCGGAGGGAATTCACTCGAGGGGCAAATTGCTCATCGAACAGTCCTTTAAGGAGCCCTGGACCAGTATCTTCAACCCTCCTCGCTACATTCAGCAATCAATCAAAGTTCGCCTTGTCCTATGTGCTGTAGTATATATTTACCTCGATTTATCTCGAACTCTTCATCGATTTCAAACCCCTCTGTCATCGTATTTCACGCTTTAATAACATTTCCGCGAAGGCCAACCCCGTCGCGATTAGGACTCCTCTGGACTGAATAATTAAAGGAATTGACTGATCGAGGATAAATAACAATTACCCGCACGTAATAAAATTAATGTAACGATTAATCGGAATGACTGAAATTACAGTATTTTCGAAATTACGAATTAATCTCGGAAATTATTGATTTACGGTGAAAATACTGGGGGACTTTTTTGTAGCTAATTGAAATCCAGAGGAAAAAGGTCTTTTGACATTTCTTCTGGAAATCAGTATTTTAGAATTTAAATCAATTGACATTCAACTATTGAACTTAAAATAAATTAATTCCCAGGAATTTTCGTGTTTTGTCAATAATTAAAAATTGGAGAATAATTTTTCTCGGAGACTTGAACATTTTATGGAATAACGTAATTGAATTAACGGTGGATTTTTATCTAGGTCATTCTACGGTGTCATCTGCATCTTTTTTCATCTACTCTATTAGACCCCCGGTTCGCCACTCACCCTCGACCACTTATTTCTATTTTTATCATCTAGAGTAAATGAAGACATCCTCTCGGCTTGATGAAAAACAACCCGAGTGGCGATACTAAAATTTTATTGAAGACGTGGGTGAAATAAAGCTCCTGACATAATTTTAAATTACATTTTTGATATCTAATTATTCTTCAAAGAATGGAAATCCCTTTGAAAAAATATTATCTCCTGAGGAATATGGGAAAAGATGTCAGGAATATCCTGACGAGTCTCGGTGTGAAATATTTATTACCAGCGGAGGCACGATTGAGTTGATTCCATCGAAGGCGCCTTATCAGTCCCGATATCTCGTCGACTCACTCTCATTACAAAGAGATAAAGTGAATCAACCACTTGTATTTCTGGAAACGTAATCGATAGAACTCCTGGTTTCTGCAAGGTCACCTGTCGACTAGTATCCAAGAGGTTTCTATCACAAACCAAATGCCCCAATAATTCCTCAACAATGAACCGTCACCTAAAATCCTCTAAAAAATAGCTTGCCCTGAAATGATTAATTTTATCAAATCCAACGTTCCACTATACAACCATCAAACCTGAATTTTCAATTTTTCAATATTTAATTTTATTCAATTCTCAATTTTGGTTAATTAAATTGATAAATCAATTCAATTCAACCAAAATCAAATTTTTAATTGAAAAATCAGGGAAAATTGTATTTGGAAGATCAAATCAAGAAATGGGAAAAGTTTTTCAATTGAAATTCAATTCCAACTCATTTGTAATTGAAAATTCATGAGAACAGGAATATTAAACGGGTATGTATTGAATAATTGAGTAATGCAATTATATTGTTCCAGGTTACCTCAGGGATTTAACCGGAAGCTATTCAGTTTGTTTCGTGTGCATGGGTACATGCATGGTCCTTGGGGGAATTCCTCTTCTCGTTGTGCCCAGTGATGGGCGAAAAAATACGATAACAAAATTATCCGTCAACTTACCACCGGAAACTAAGGAAACATCGCAAACAACAAAGAATTAGTACCTCAGAGCAGATTAATATAATAAAATTCATGTTGTTGATGAAAATATGAATAACAGAGAAATTAAACCATAATATAAAATATTGGGTAAGACCGAATGAGAATGAAGTCGCAAGGAGGTGAAAATGTTGCTTTATTTACGAATTACTGATATAAGTGCACAGGTATTACATTGAACAGAGAAATTGTAGAGCGACGAGAATTTGAATAGAGAATTGAAAATTTAAATTTAAGTTTAAATCTAATGTTTTTATAGATAAATTTATTGATTCGATTGATTATCAATCCCGCCAATCTCTTCTTTCAAAGTAGTTTCCATAAAAATATCGATAGGTAATCGTTTAACACAAGAGACTCACTTCGTTCTACGAATTCTCCGTTGAAGTAATTTTATTTTCAACGGTACAATTAATTTCCTCAAGAGCAAATGATAAATTCTTGAAATGTGCATGAGACTGTGATGAAATCGCGAGATAAATAATCGGACAGAGTACAAGGAGTCAACCACACCTAGTTTTTCCGAAAATTTCAGATGTAAGAGTGAGAATTCATGGAGGAATAAGTGATAAGTATTTTCCTGCTATTGTAACAAATTGATGGTGGAATGTAATGAGAAGCACTGGGTTCATCTTTCTACGATCTACGATATTACAATCTCTGATTTATGAATTTCTACTTGATTGAAATAAATTGAGTGATTGATTTATCGATTACTTTACTCTGAATATCGAATTCTGCTATTCCTCCAATCCCAGTAATTAATAATTAACAAAAGAGTGAAGAACTGCGAGATGGAGAGAACATCGATTTTCGTAACCCCAATTAATTCCGTGATTAATGAGTAGATAATTAAATTATGGGGCGAGTCATGTATTCCACTATTCCACAAATTACAGAAACTCTCTTGAAGGAATTCGGAATGTCTCTTCAACAGGGAATTCCCGATCCTTTCAGAACCCCGGTGTTCAGGTATTTTTTATTTTTCCGAATGAATGGATTCTGATACTTGAATTAATTTTCCAGGAAAGTTGTTTCTTTAATCCCAGAAGAGCGCCTCCGAAAAGAACGAGAAGTAACCGAAAGGAGTTGTAACCCTGAGAATTTTCCACTCCCTGGGGACACCCCAACCCCACAGGCCCCACTCCAAATTCCAGAGGAAAATCCGGGAAAAAATTTGATTAACAATCGCAAGAAAAATTGTAAGGAGCAGCGGCAACGACGCGACAATAAATCCCGATATCCGGCTGAGAAAACTAAAGATCAATCCAACAAATTCAACGAGAAAGTCAAAACGTTTTGCTATTTCAGACCCTTGCCACCGCAAAAAATAGTTAAAACGGATATCTCCACCTGCAGAAGCTGTCCGCAGTCTAAAGTCGGGAAGATGATGAGGGGAATATTCAGGAGATGCAAAAACAGGATGAAGAGCATCTCCAAGTCTCCGCCTGATGTCGACGTGAATTTCGTGTGCTATCGGTGCAACTACCCCTGTTTCAAGATCTGCGGAAGATACAAGACCGGAGAATTACCTGTGGAGAGGATAATCCCCGGTTCGAATGATTTCCACGCAGACGAGGGTGGCGAAATGAGAAAAATAAATCTGAATGAGAACAGTCCGACGAGGCGTGAGGCGTTCACGAGGAAATCCAAGACATCAGCGAAAAAAATCTGGAAAAGTGCAATCAGTGTTCACTCAACTACGGATTCCGCACCCAACGATTCGTCTGTGCAAATTCTCCAGAGGAAAACGAGTGACAGGGGGAGCATTCCCTTCGAGGGACACTCTAGGAATACTCTGAAATCGAGGACCTCCTCCGAGAGGCTGAAGAAATTCATCTACGATGTTTTCCCTCCAACGGTGGAGTTCATAGCCTCCGGAGAAGATCTTCCAGGAATGAGGTGGGGAAAGGAATTCTCTAAACCTCCGATCGATCAAGGAAATGAGAATGCAGTGGAAAGAGAAAGAGATTCTGAAGAAAATTCCAGTCTTCAAACGGAAGTTCTTGGTGACGCTAGGAGTCGCTTTAAGCTAGAGGGCCGTGTCCTGGAGGTTATTGGAATGGAGGGAATTCCTGAGAGAAATGAACAATTGTGTCAGGGGCATCAGTTCGTTTCGATGAATGATTATTTGCAGCTGTTTTACGATAATCGGAGGAAAATACCTGGAGATTCTGAGGGATCCAAGAAAGTTGAGGTACTCTATGGACGAACTTCCACTGGGAAGTTGGACTTCAACTCAAACGCGGAATAATTTTTTTGACGTTAGGTGAGGTGAATTTATTCAGCTTGTGCTCAAAACTTATCTGGCTACATAATAACGTACATAAATATGTGGAAAAAATTCGGCACTTCACTCTGGCAAAATGCAGTCGTTCGTTTATGGAATAGCGATTATTCTCGAATCACTGTGACATTTTTGTCATCAAAAATGAGATCAGTTCGTGATGGGTAGACGAGTTTCATGTTACCCTCGATATCGACACCCTTCACCCGTTCAATCTGCAATTTGTGGTATTGGTGTGGGATTTCCTCGTTGTTGTGAGGTGTCGCGATCCCGAGGGGCAGGAGCTCCTTAAGGAACTGATCCATGACGTTCCTAAAATTTAGAAAAAAAAATATGGTATAGAAATCTCGAATTAATATCAAGATTGAATCCTTATGAAAAAATTGAAAAAATTATGAAACCTTATGAAAATTGAAAATGAAAAAAATGTGGGAATAATTCCGAGAAATAATTTCACCTGCAAATTTGCTGTGAAGTACTGCTGGTCACCTCTACGAACATATTCTTGCTGTTGGTGGACATTTTGGTGATTTCACTGTTAGTGATTGGGGGAAGAGATATGACTTGATCAGACGCATCTAGCAGGCAAGGAAAGACCGGCTTTCCTTCGATCAGGTACAAGTATCTGTGAACACCAGAGTAAACATTTCTCTTTTTCTCTCTTCTGAGATTATCAGCCTCCGTCTGAAGCTGCTGAAACAGCGCCGATGCTGTGTACGTTTTGCTCCTGTTCAGGGGCATTATTTTTAATTCTTTCGGTGGTTTCGCGGTGTACGTCAAATCTCCTGTGAAAAAAAAATCCACAGACAATGAATATCGATGCAATTGTCATAATTAATGATAATTAAATATTCAACCTGGAACAATGAGATCCAAGTCATGTGTAGCGAGAGTTGCAGCATTTCTCTTCTCGCAGATGCCCTCGTGCAATTTTGTCTGCAGTTGGATGAATTTTTTGAAATTCTCATCAGTAAAATTCAGATTACGAACTACGCAGCAGACAATATGAGGTCTGACTGACTTCACGTTCTCCAGGATCTTAACAACTCGGTTGTCATCAGAAACTTTCAAGACCATCAGCTGATGAGTCAGTATCTCTGCATCGGGAGTGGTTTCACTCTCTGATGTTTTATTCCCTTTTTTATCCTTCTTGTTTTTTCCAGATTGTCCAGACGAGTTCTCAGACTTGGAGCCATGTTGTTTCACGTAATCAAGAACTTGTTTCGTTCTGCACTGATCGACGAGTTTGTGAAGTCTTTTATCGTTCAATTTGTTGCCCTTCAAGTTCAATTCTTTGAGTTTCACACAATCCGCCAGTTCTCTAGGCACATCCTTGATACAATTATCAGCCAGATCCAGGAGTTTCAACGAGGGAAGGAGCTTGAGTGTCCCTGGAATCTCTTTAATTTTGTTCCCATTAACCCTGATCTCAGCAAGATGAACAAGTTCTCCATAACACACGTCAGGGAATACTTCGAACTGATTATTAGAAAGATCCAAAGCAGCCAGCTTGACATTGATTTTCTGACAGGGCAGGTGATCGAGCAAATTCGATCCAAAGTTGATGGTCATGAGTTGGGGGAAGTTGGAGAGCTCATCAGGTACTTCCTTCAGCTGATTTCTCGAGCAATCGATGACCTTGAGCTTTGATAGGGCCCTGATGTCCCTAGGGAGGCTGGAGATTTTATTCGAGTGGAGGACCAGTGTCGTGAGGTTCTCCAATTTCGATATGTCCTGGGGGATTGTCTCCAGGGATGTTTGACTGATGTTCAAGTAGTTCAGTCCCTGGAGCCGGAAGATATTATTATCCAGTCCATTTTCAGATATTCTCTGGGACACTTTCGCACCAGAAAGCACTAATTCGTGTCGATTCTCCTTCCATATTTGAGATACTTCACTCCAGGCTGTCGCTACGTCCATTTTGGAAGTTAATTAATCGTTCCAGTTGTTTGGTAATTATTGGTTAATTCTTACTTATGGGGATTTCGGGGATCTGGGAGGTTATAACACCCGGCACGTTGTGTTTTGATCCAACACATGAGTCCGACATCTCAAGGACAAATTTTAGTAATCCAACTCGCCAACTTCATGCGCCAAATCATGGAGATGCTTTAAAAATCGTTCCATTTTCAATTTTAAACATTTTTCTATGAATTGAGTGTTTAGTAATAAATCAATTGACTGTTAATTGAATTAAAAAAATACTTATTAAAATTGAAAGGAAATAGTGAACATTTTAAAACACTTACATCGATCTTTATTAAACTCCGTATAACATTCTCGTACAATTTGTAATAATAAGACATTATTATCATAAAATATATATTCTGTAATGACGTGCAACGTGGGATTTCGTAATTAATCGATCGCATGAGGTGAACTAAATACAGAAGTAATTTTCCAATAAATAAACGACGAGTAATAATAGTAATTGTATTTGGCTTGAGTCGAAATAATTGATCCACTCGACGAAATCATCGAGACGGGTTTTATTTTTGTTGGTAAATCAGTGGTACAATTTGTCGCATCTCTCTGGGATTTTTTCACTCTCTTTTCCTGAAGAGTGTGACAACGATATCCTGGTGGATTTTTTTTAATATCCTGCCAATTCAGCGAAGGTCGAGTCCATCTCGTCGGCCAGAGACTTGTATCTGTCCTTGTTGATGCCAAGTTCGTCTGCAAAATTTATTAGAGATATTGAAAATTCATTTCACTTTTTGCATTCGTGGGGTTGCAGTCAAGTGCTGAAACGAGATGTGCCTTTCATTTTTTTAAAATAAATTTATATAATACACGTCAATTTATAATTTTCAACGCATCTTGTTCCACTTTATCACTTCTGGATTTGTTATAAATAAATAATAAATCTCTACTGTCTGAAAACAGATTCATCCGAGGGCGCAATCACTCGGGAGATATTTTACACCTGAAGATAATTAATAATTAATTATGTCATCAATGAAGAACATTCGAAGGTAATAATAATAATGCCTTGATTAACATCCGATTAATTGCAGCTAAAGTATTTTATAAATATAAATTCTCGTTTTTAGGGATTGAGGGTGATTATAAATTGAAATAATTATAAACGAGTGATTACTCCTCGGGTGGTAAAAAAATTAGCTTGACCAACAACATGTGAGAAATAATTTGACGATCCTTGCACTATCTGCAATAACCAATGGGTTGTCTATTCCTTGGATTTTTCCTAAGGGTGACTAATAGGCAATTTGAGGAACTGCCCCCTGATTTTGCACTACACATTCCCTGGGGACTAAAGTACCTGGGATCCGACGATCGACGCATTATTCTCTCCCTAATCGTTGTTGTAAATTTTTTGGGGAAAAATTATTGAGTTGTGGAAAGCGTGTTAGATGTGTAATCACGGAAAAAACATGAGAATATTAACTCCTGATTCTAAAATCATAAGAAAATAATTTTTCAATGAAAAAGACTATCGATATTTATTATTTCTATTCCACAGAAGCTGTTGGGCCTAAATATCCAAGACTTTCTTCACTCCAATTTGTTTATCAAATTGAATAGAAAAATATTCGTGAAAATGAGGCCCGAGAATTTCGACTGAATTTACGACCGGATAAATTATCTAGTATGCCTGTGATAATTTTTCTATTTAAAAATATCTATTTAAATAGTTATTTCCGTGATGTGTAATGATGGTAAATATTTAGTATCCGCTAAGCTCAGCAAATGTCGAATCCAAGTCGTCGCAAATAGCTTTGTGTTTCTCCTTCTGATGGGACAAGTCGTCTGCAATTAGAAACGATAATTTTCCTCCATCCTCAGATGTCGATGAGAAAAATGCTAGAATACATGCTTTGCAGGACAGAAAATAAAAAGAAAAATATATTTGACAAATGAAAAAATATTTTGGAATGGAGTGACATATTAAATAAATTTTTTGACGGAGGGAAATGCCAATTGAAATTCAATTCCAATAAACTGTCATCATCAGTGGCATGTCAACTATCTCTCACGTAATAAATCATTATCGCGTGGACTACATGAATAAATAATTGATGAATTAACTGATATCTGACCTTCGAGCCTGTCGACCTCCTTCTGGAGCTTCTTGACGGTCTTCTCGGCGAATTCAGCCCGTGCCTCGGCCTCTTTTAGCTTGACAGTCAGGGTTTTCAGCTGGCGTTTGAATTCCTCGACTCTCTGGTTGGCCTACATTTCAAATCAATTGTTTATATTTCCATCGCGATAGGGGGGCAGGGGATGTGTTTACCTTTTCCTCTGAGACCTCCAGGGATTTCAAGCTATTGCCGACGACCTTGAGCTCCTCCTCCAATTCCATGATCTTTCTGGAGTTCATTTATTTATCATTCAGTTAGATCAATTATTTATTATTAATTTACTTTTTTATTTGGTACAGGACTTACGCTTCTCCGGACTTGACACGATCCTCCGCTACTTCGAGCTCGTCCTCAACGAATGCCAGCTTTCGGGAGACCTCGTCGGACTTGCCGTCAGCATCTTCAGCGAGGAGACGCGCCTCCTTCAGCTGATTCGTTAGCTGATCCATTCGCTCCTCGTCCTGCTGGGCACGATTCTCCAGTACTTTGCACATACTGATAACAACAATAGTGTAACAATTTAATTCAACAATTTCCTTCACAATTTTTTAAATCGTCATGTCATGGTTGAATTTAGAAATTACAAGCTTAGAGTTCTGATTTTGTAATTCCTATTTTACAGTATTCTATGACAATCTCGAGTTGTCATGTGACAGTCATAATTATATTTTATAAAATCTGTAATCAGGATAAATGGGATAATTGAGGAAATGACAGGAAACCCACCGGCTTGACTCGTCAGCCGCCTGCGAGGCCTCTGTCAATTTGGCAGTGGCAGTGTTCAGGCGTTCCTCTGACCGCTCCAGGTCTTCCTCGATGAGCTGGACTTTCCTGTTGAGAGCAGCCACTTCGGACTCCGCCTGAAAGCCAAGGAAAGGAAAACAACTAAAATTGTTGAATTGTCAAAAAAAAGAGCTTGAACCAACGAAAAGAAAAATTTCAATTTCAGAAAAAAAATTCTCACGTTGGTGAGGGACTTCTCGCGTTCCTCGAGATCCTTGTTGGCCTGCTCAAGGGCACCCTTGTTCGTCTGAAGATCGTTTTCAACCTGGGCGAGCTTCTTCTGCAGATCGGCAACCTCCTCGAGGACTTTGTCCGCACGCATGTTTGCCTCTTTGGCCTGACCCTCGCAGACATCAGCCTTGTCCATGGCATTGTCCTTCTCAAGCTTCATCGCTTGCATCTTCTTCTTGATCGCGTCCATGATGGCAACTGTTCTATCTCTCCTTTCACCACGAAATCAACGAATTTCCTGGGAAAATCATAATTTATCATAACGTCTTCACCAGGAGCCCTAGACAACTCTTCATTCCGTTAAGCTCAAACTGTCAAACTTGAAGCAAGGTAATTAGTAAAAAAATACACAACATTTTTATTGCAATGCTCAATTCATTTATTTATTTACATTTATTTCTATTCTATTTATTTAATTGAAATTCGGACCGCGTCATTGTGGACATTAATGATATTTATGATTATTAATTATTACGGTGATTAATGCATGTGAGATAGTTTTGCGGTGATCCTATGATTTCATGAATGATCATTGATTTGTTCCAGCACAACCCACCACCTCCCATCCGCAAATAGAATGTGAAATGGAGGGCCTAAAAATAGGAATGGCCCCTTGGTTCCTAGCCTGGAGATGAAGAATGTGAGCCACCGTAACCCAGAAGAAGCTTTACTTGGCGGCCAACGACAGCCCGACATCCGATCTAAGTACCAAATTATTTATAGAATATCTCCGACATTAGCGAAACATTCCAACCGACTCTTTACCACCGATCGTTAATGACACACTAGAAATATTTATATGTGGATAATTCTACTGATTTCTCGAGTTACTTCATTACGCATTACGCATTCCATACCATATAACTTTGGGCCTCATGCCAAGGACTTTGTCTTCGGGTCTATTTCCGGTGCGAGTTTAAACGCCAAATCGTTATGTTCGCGGCGATATTGCGGGATTCATTCAATCGATTCGGGGAATATTTCGAAATTTCTCGGTTATTTAACGTGGTAATTGTTTAAACAATTCATGGGGATGCATTCAATTTTTTTTTGGATTTGAGGAAAATTTGGAAATCAATTTTTTAGGTTTTTTTACGGGTCGAGAAAATTCGCGGACGATTTCAGGTCGAGGGATTCATTAATGAAGCACTGAATTGGATTTTCGAAATTCTGGGCTTTCTAGTCGAATTTTGAATTTGAAAAAATCCTGTGCTTTTTTTTAAACATTTTGGATCAACGCGGGAATAATTGAGAGCCAATTTTGAGGGGTAAAAATACAGGGACGGATTTAAAAATATAGATAAAGCCTGTGGGATAGAATTTTTGAAAATCCTGTGGTGTTTAATCGATTTTTCAAAAAATCCTGTGCATCTCTCCAAACTTTTTCATTCCCGCGAGAATAATTCCACAATTTCGGAAGGTAATAAACATTAATTTCGATCCAACCGTTTTCGGGCACAAATATAAAATCCAAAAAACGTAGTTTCAAAAAATCCTGTGTATATTTCCTAATCATTGAATTATCCGAATAATTAGACACAAAAATTTTGAAGTATAAAAATATTAATGTCCATCCAAACCAAGACAATACGGGGCCAAAAAAAAAAATTCACAAAATGGAATCTCAAGAAATCCTGTGCTTTTGAATTCTTCCATTATCCGTGAAAATAGATGAACGGATGTCGAGGGGTTAATCTACTTACGACATTGCGAAGCGGTTAAAAGCTCGAAAGCAGTCGTCAAAAGCGTAAGCAAGATAATGCACTATTAAAAATTGGCATCTCCACATTATGAGTCGTTGCCACCCCCGTCAGTAATTTCACACTCACGAGCACCAGAAACTTTGAACAATTTTTATTTCTATTAAAAGCAATTTTTTTTAAACTAGATCCCAGCTGCTGTCAGGATTGAAACTTTCCGGAGGGACTTACCTACCCTCGCGAGTAGAGCGACGCGCGACGAGTGTCGTATCGTCGATCGAGGTACAACCAAAAGTTCGGAAAAAGCTCTCTGGAGGGGCGGCCAAAAATGGCGAGCTTGCGACAAATCCGAGGATAAATCCACTCGTCTGCGCACGTATTTTCGATTATCCAAATCCAGGATTTTGGGGAGGGGCGCTATTCGCGCGCTCTATCAGCTGGTACGCCTATGTGCGCAGAAGATCGCGCTGGCCACCGCGCATCTCACTTTGGATCCAAGTTTAAGGTATTTTATACAGTTTTTTCAATTTTTGATTTGTGTCGTTTTGAATTTTTTTTTATTTTTAATTGATAACTCCGGAATTCGAGAAATCGTACATTTTTGAATTTCAAAATTTCAGTTTTTTGGACAGTAATCACGGGTTTTTGAGGATTTTTATTTTCATGATTTGTTTTCGCAGCGGATTCTTTTTGGAAATTGAATGCAAGAGCGAATTGAGTTTTTATGAGGTTGAAAATTTGAATAGAATAATCAATTTGTTAATTGGGGTTTTCTAAAATCACGCGATATTTTTTGGAGTTCAGTTGTTTAAGAAATTCCGGTGAAATCTTCTGCATTCGGTAGAGAACTGCAAGTGATTCATCCGTTGAATTTAACTCTTCTAAATTTAGTTTACGAGATCAACTGGAGGCTTGAACTTTGACCAATTTTTGGAGATTCTCGGTGCATTCAGTCGATATTTAAATAATAATTGTATATTCCACCGAGTAATAATGAATACAATATTTCTAGGTCGCGATGATAATTTTTACCAGGGAAAATGTGGCTCCCAAGAATAGGATTCTGTTACGATACGAGAGCATCTATTAATAATGAGTCAAATACCGAATCCCTCGACGAAAAATATCGGGTTCTCGTCAACAGTTTTTCTTTCCCAAAATTCACATTGAGGAAAAAATGCAAATTCACGGATTTTTCAAAAAAATATCTCAATCAAGGGTTTTTTAAAAGTGAGTTGAATATTTTTTATTATCAATTAATCTCATCCGATTCATGTCTGTTTTCATCACCACTCTCTGTTGACTGTCCCGTTGCCAAATCTTCAATACGTGGGTGACTTTTAAATTTCAAGAAAACAGATTTAAAATAGAGACGAATAACATAAAAAATCAGGGCTCTGCTCTACTTCTCCCCTCACAGATTTCAAAATATATGAATAAAAAATCGTATAAATTTTTCACTGACCGATAGTTTTGAATAAATAATAAAACTATAGGGAAAAAATAATTGAAATTGCAGTCGAATAATTGAAACAAATTAAATTAAAATTATCTCTTTTTTTAAATAAATATTTGTAGTCTATTTGTGGAAATGGGAATTGAAATGAAAAATATATTTATCCACTTTCCATAATTTTCTTTATTTCGCTCGATGCTTAACATTATTCTTAAAAAATTGGTTCATTTATCGTAAAATGAATCGATCCCAATTTCTCATCATCGTGGAGGCACTCGGCGACTATAACGAGTTGTTAACATGACATGAGAATCGATCTTGAATCTCGCCTCCAGTTTACAAAAACAAATGGGCTAATCGCAATTTTTAATTAAACAAGAACAAATGATAAAAAGCATTTGGTTTTTTTTTCTGGACGTTTCCCCGCCCGATCGTTCCATCGAAATATCACGGACGACTGAATTTTATAGAAAAACCTCGTGATTTCTACAAATAGTTTAAATTATTTATTAATTATTTAAACAATTGCAGAGCAGGGATGGGAAATTAAATAAATTAAGGTCATTTATTGAATGCATTGTGTGGTAAATATGGGTAATTAATTATTTTTATGCAATTAATTAATTGATTAGTTAATTTTATTAATTGCCAATCTGTTCGGTTTTTCTATTAAATTTTCGACTGTCTGGCGATATATTGATGTTGCAATAAATCGCTAAGCAAATTCATTAGTTTTAGAAAATCCTACGAGGCATTTTGTACTTTGAAAATGTGTCTCGGGTGTTGCAAAAGCTAATTGAGCTCCAAAAACGCCCAAAATAATGTAGTCACGCCAGTCGATACAAAAGCGAGAAAAAATTAAGTATAACAAATATATTACATTGAATAATGGAATGGAGTTATTGCACCTGAAGATTCTGTACATTTTATCCAAAATTTCGAGATATAAATTTTTGGAATTAATAGAAAAATCTAACGCTTTCTCTCAGAATTATCAGTGAATTTATTTTGGATTTTTTTAGAAAAAATAAATCATTATAAAAAAGAAATATTAAAAATAATGAATACTTGGTTTTTCTTTAATAATCCAAGAAAAACAAAATATTAATAAAGATATAAAAAATTGAAATTAAAATTACAGAATTATTATTCTTAAATTGTTTATAAAATGACTATAGAGTTCCAATAAAAAATTCAATGAGATTTTTTAGGAAAAAGTAAAGTTATTTTTCTATTAAAAATTTCGGTTATTTGACATTTTCGATATTTCGGAGAAATGGAATGATGAATTATCGCTGAGGCTAGATGAGGGAGAGGAGGGAGATGAGGGAGATAAGGGAGATAAGGGAGATAAGGGAGATGAGGGAGATGAGGGAGATGAGGGAGATGAGGGAATTATTGAAGCGATGATAGTAATCTTCAGGGTGTTCTGTTCTGGTGGCAGTGTCGGTGGCTCCAGTTATTTCCGATGAAGTTCTCGTTAATACCCCGCGAGGTCGGCGAACGTCTGGTCCATCTCGTCAGCGATGGCTTTGTACTTACTGCGCTCATTCGCCAGTTCGTCTGCAACGATTAATTAGGGTATCGGGTAATTAGTGAGGTGACGTACTGTTAATTAACGATAGGTAAATGGAATCCAGGAAAGTGTTGTTGGTTATAAAAAATCATCGATATTTTGTGCAATCATGTTGACAATTTGTGTATAACCTCGACTGACAGCGAATATTGATTATCGGAATAATAAATAATGTAATAAATAATATACATAACATCATGAAAATTGTGTAAGTTTTATTATTTGATGATAAGAATGTGGAAATGTTCATGTATGGACAGGAAAAAGTGATTGGTGAATTAATAAATACAATGAAATATAATGTTGACTTGATTTTTTACTCCATTTTGAAATTTTGAAAGTCGCCCGAGGAAATGACTCCTCCATTCTCCTTCGATCTTGTTACAAAACCCTGATTTTATTCAAATTTTGATGAATAACTCCTCCATTCTCCTGTGATCCTGTTACAAACCTCAAATTTTTGATTCAAATTTCAACGCAACGCGCTCCAAGGTTCTCGAATTTTCACCAGTTTGTATCAGGATCACAGAAGACTAGAGTAGGTATCCGCTGTTCTTCACTTTGGTATCGAATAACTCCTCGCACCTTCTGTGATCCTGATACAAATCTCGAATTTTTGGTCGAAATTTTAACGGAACGGGCTCCCGGTTTCTCGAATTTTCACAAGTTTGTATCAGGATCACAGAAGACTAGAGTAGGTATCCGCTGTTCTTCACTTCGGCATCGAGTAACTCTTCACACCTTCTGTATTCCGGATTGAAAACTCGCATTTTTGACTTGAATTTCAACAAAATACGCTACAATTCACTCGAATTAGTATCAAGAGCACATGAGAATAGAAAAGCTACCCAGTACTTTCCTGCATCTTGATTTTTAAACAGATAACCAACAAAATGGCGTCGTCTGTTTACTGTTTGTTTATTTAAATAAAAAATTCATAGTTTTCCGAAAAAAATGGAGAATCTAGTTCTAGTTAATATCAGTTAAATAATTGTTTTCAAGTGACATAACCTCAATTTTTTTCAGAATAAATAAATAAAATGAATAAATAAGATTGGGACGGGTTGTTATAAATAAATACACATCCAGATAATTACAATATATTAATTTAATTACAGTACAAGTACAGGTAAACAATCAAACGATCAAATGAACAGGCGAGATGTTCTATGTCGTGTTTCTGATGCTCATGATGCTTCAAGGATGTCTTTGGATACATGATGTCCCAGGAATCCTCAACCCCAGGAGTTTTAACCGACGAGCTCGGTGAAGGTGAGATCCAGGTCGTCGCAGATGTATTTGTATTTCTCCTTCTCGTGGACAAGTTCGTCTGCAATCCAACAAAATCAATAAGCAATCATTTCCAAAAATATATTATCGTAAATATCGCGATACATTAATTGTTGTAATAAAAAAAATGGAGGCCCTGAATTTAATATTTCTTTATAAAATAATGGTAAAAAGGGAAACTCCTCGATATTTGTTGAAATGTTATTTGTTTGCTGTATTAGCAAAATGTTAAAGGCCAGGAACTTACGTAAATCGTTAGGATAAGCGCAATAATTAAAGGCGGTAAAAATTCGGATATTATTGCAAGCGTATTAGACTCCGTAAAGCTCCTCGAATGCATTGTCCAGTCCATCTCCAATTTCCTTGTACTTCTCCTTTTCTGCGACCATCTCATCTGCAAGCAATTGTCAAACTCCCAAATTAATAAGCATGTTCTATCCTAATTTCGTGCCAAGCATTACAAAACATTTTCATGTACACTTAACATTACGATCTACAAACGAAATTTTTTTGGAAAAATTCAGATAAGCCGAGAAAATACTATCAAAAATTTTTCCGGGGAATAAATTCTGGATGGATTCGAATTTCGTTGTCTATCTTGAAAAAAAACGTCTTTTAATTTCTGAAGTGCGATGGAATGTTTATTGCATTTCTAATTATTTAAATAGAATTTTTTCACACGTATTTCCCGGGCTGAACATTCTCACGTTATTTGAAGAATTCCCACCATTCAATGTGTGAATGGGTGTGACCGTCTATTAGTTTTTCGTTCACGTCGGCCACTTGACGCCACGTGTGACGAATTACAATTTTAACTCATCATGAATCGCGATATTGTTTGTTCTATTGACCTTCGACGACTGAATGGGGTCTCAACTCTGTCTTGGAGATACGCGAAATATTTTGAGAATCTGAGAAAAAATTCCGGCCCTGAAAGAATATTTGTTATTTATTAATTGATTAAAAAATAAAAATATCCAGTTTTACTGACGACAATTTACTCACCATTCCTGTCATACGTACCATTTCCAAAAATCTTCTTCCATGCAGTGTTACACATCTAGCGAATTAATCACCACAACACTTATCATTACTGTTAGTTCAATCATATAAAATTAGAAATGAAAAAAAAAATCAAAACAACACAAAAATTCAAAATGAAAATATATATTATAAACAGATTTATAATAATAGCAATATATAATAATTAATATTACAATGATATTAGTTGATTGTTTTTCAATTCATTCGTTTCCTCAGTAATATCAAGTTAATTAATAATAATAAACTATCATTAATAAACTCAAGTGATTTATTCTGTCTGTGTTTTTACTCCCATTAATTTTCCGCATTTACAATTATCATTTCAATCAATTCGGTCCCCTGATGTTTTTTAATTGGTCATTGACGAGTGGAAAATCAATATCGAGTAAAATAAAACGATCGATCGATAAAATTCTTCTCGCTTTCTTGCGAATCCTCAATCCGCGATCTAGTTATTCGTGAATTTTATCTATTTCGTCTAGTATTCGTCCACAAGTCCTCGATTTGGTATCAGTTGATAATAAAAATCTTGAGAATCTCAACAGAAAAAAAAGCATAAACGATTTTAACTCTCATCTTTAGAAATAATCATGCGAAAAATTTGGAATGCACTTCATCCTGAAACAGAAAATTCTATAGAATTCTCCAATTATAGATCAATTATAGATCAATCAACTATTGAATTTTCGGCAGTAATCGAAGGAAAATGCAATTCAATGGAAGAAAAAAAATTAATCAAAAAAAAAGTGCAAATTACGCCAACTGCTGTCGAACTGCAATCTAGTGTTTTCCACGTTTTTTAGTTAATATCTCGAGACTCGTTAGAGCTAGCGGAATCTTCATTGGACATTTTTTGTAGAACATGAAAATACTCACAAAAAAGGTCCCACGAAATTTTCCTCCATCTCCATCAGATCCCAAGATATTCTCAAAAACCCATCGACCAAAGTACCTCTCATTAATTATTCAACTCCACAAACTAAATAATTCCGCAATTAAACGTCTCATCATTATAAATCTCACCCGGCCTGAAAAATCGATTCGCGATGTCTCGTAAATACCCATAAATTGTACTCCACGATAGGATATTGAGCCGTCACGAAACTCGGAATGTTATCAGAAAACAGAAAGAAACGAAAGTCTCTTATAATTCTTAACCAAACTATTGCCCCATACCAATTGATTTCAGTATTCACGATTCCTTAATATTCACAGGCACTCAAAAATCATTCACTCATCACATCCATCGGTGGAGATATTTTTTTCGATAATGAGGAGACTGGGGCCTACGACTGCTCATTGTCCGGTTTAATGTTTAAGGCGTTGCACCATTATTCAGCGCGAGAAAAAAAAGAAAGATAGATAATGCAATTGGGAAGGGGGGGATCTGTAAGATCACATTGGAACACCGGATCTACATGTTCTGGATGTCATGCAGGGTCGCCTCCATTTCCTCCTGTAGCAATTTGTTTTTCTCCCTTTCGCCAACGAGTTCGTCTGCAAATATCACTCGTTAAAAAACACCCACACAACACGTCAAAACAAATTAAATAAACAAAACGAATTAAATTAATTGAATAAAAAGAAAAGACTCATTGAAATTTAACTGTTAGAAACACAAATAAAAAATTAATTCAAACAAAATTCTGTCGGAGTTTTTCAAATCACGTTAGGAATTCATTTTGGATAGTGGCCTTTAGTGGTTTAACTCATGGGGAATAAATCGTGAAGTGGTACCGACGAATGTACAATACGTAAATACGCAATGAGTCATTGTTTGAGGTTTTGAGACCTCGATGTAAACGTCAGCTTCGAATCGCCGAGGGTTACGTTATTATTCCTTTGGTTTTCATTTTCAATGGTGTCTATTGTCGAAAAAATTCTTGGGATTTTGTTTGGGTTATTATTTTTTCGATACACTCACCCTCGAGCCTGTCGACCTCCTTCTGGAGCTTCTGAACCGATCTCTCGGCGAACTCAGCACGGGCTTCAGCCTGAAAAATTTTTTATTCAAGTCAGCACTTGGATTTTTTTTTCTCACAAGTCGACTCAACGATTTCAGAATAATTAATACCGAGACAGATAATTTATGTTGTTTTTATCAGTCTGTTGGGGATATTTTTATTATGAAATCGGTGAGTATAAAGAGCTCCGAACGACAAACACATGCTGTTTTTAGGATTCACACAGTCCACACAAAATTCTTTAGGTAACAGCGTTAGAAAATTAAGGAATTTGCAATTTTTAATGTGAAAACTTGAATTTTTCCTGTGTTTATTACTGAAAAATGAGATAATTCGTGAAGATATCCCAGTGTTTTATTGATATTCTAAGAAATATCTTTCCACGACTGAAATCGATTTCTGCTGAAATTTTAACTTTCGACAAATGATAAAAAACTTTACCTGTAATCTTACCAAAATTCTAATAAAAGAAAAATTGTCAAAATACTTCGACGTATGGATAATTATAGAAATAATTGACGAAATGGATTTTTCAATTTTCACATGAATTACCTCTTTTAGCGAGCTGCTCAAGTCCTTAACCTGTCCCTCGTAATTTTCCTCCCTCTGTGTCAACTGGTTTTAGTGAAACGCACAAACAAGAAAGAGAAAAAAACAACTTGAGTTAGTGAAAAAAAAAATATATAAAGCGCAGTAACAATTCCAGGGGCTCTTCGTGGGCATGATTCTAAATCTCCAACTATATCTATCTGTTAAATAATCGCTTGGATAATTGTTATATGTGAGTTGCAGTGACTGAAAAAGCACAATCAAACGAGGCACTCGCGATTTTATTTAGTACCTCCTTTAGACGAGTGGTCAGGGTCTTAATTTGGTTCTTGTATTCCTCCTCGCGCTGGTTCGCCTGGTGGTACACAAATATTTATTTATCCTTCGAAATACTGACCCAACCGTTATTCACCGCGTTAAACAATTTATTTTATTAATTAACTAATAAAAAGATAACCTTGTCACTTCTCTACTCATTTTCTAATTCACTGGGGACTGAATTATTTTTTTAAAAAACACGTGGAAAAATCTCACCTTCTCCTCTGATACTTCAAGGGATTTCAGGTTGTTACCAACGACACGAAGCTCCTCCTCAAGTTCGACGATTTTCCTGCAAAAGAAAATAAAAATAAATATGAATCCTATCAAATATTTATCTAAAAAATTCTTCCCCATGTGTCTAGACAATTCTTCTTACATTCCACTCGAATCGAATCAAACAAAAATTCAATTTCCAACATTCTCCCCTAATTTTCAAACTCCAACGAATTATCCTCGATGTGAATGTAAAAAGAAAAGAATAATTCTCCTCAATCCAACAACAGGCAAATTAAATAAAAAATACAGTACGATCTCTGCACATGCGGTTACCAAATAAACCAAAGACTTACGTTTCCGAGAGTTCAGCCTTCTCCTCAGCTCTCTCAAGATCCTGTTCCATCATGACTAGCTTCCTGGCGACCTGGATAATGCCACATCATGCCCAAGCAAAGACACGAGAAATCAACGGGAAAAAAAAAATGATTTTCAAAATGACCACTACAGATAAATATCATGCAAACTACAATCGGTGGTGCTAATTAAATAAAAAAAAATATATCTGCCTCCTCCATCAGCAGCTGGCCCAGGTCACCACCACTCGAATTACACCGGAAGGAATCACTAAAAAAATTCTACACCGTTTGGTCTCTCAATTAGTGACACACGTCAGTGGCAATTCAACACTTAATTAAATTAATTGACAACTGATAAACTACATGGGGAAAACAATTAATTAAACACGCTAATGAGGTAAAACGGTGCTTACGATTCTCCAGCCTCAGCTCGCTCCTCAGCACGTTCTAGATCAGCTTCAACCATTGCCAATTTACGGGCGACCTATTTTAATCACAGGGGCACTTTTATTCGATGAACGTACGAGTTTTATTTAATATCGGTCAGAAGACAATTTTCATGACAGCTCAAACAAAAATTCAACCAAACGTCTTATTCCAATTCTCAATAATGAAATAATTCGCCTTCTTCATTTTTATGAAAGAATGATTTTTTTTGAGATTATATCAATTATATTCAGTATCACGTTTATCTCGATTTTCAATTCTTCTAGTCCTGAGAAATATCAGGATATATAATAATTTTTTTTAATAATCAGGAGGTAAAAAAATGACGAATTAATAATATAACGTAAAGATGAATGAGTCGTGAAAATTGACATTCTGCGAAAATGTATTATCGAACAGAATAATACCTCACGAGTTGGAAAAGATAAATAGACTGAATCAAAAAGAGAATCTCGAGTTGTAAAATCTCTGTTTACTATTAATGAATTTGTGATTGAGTACTTATTATTTTCCTCGAATATTTGACTCATGAGCTGTCGTTTCTGCTGAAGCTATTTTATCGGGCACTCAGTAGCTGTTAAATATCAACTCAAAGATTAAGAAATCCACAAATTCAGCAGTCGTATTATACCAGCAAAACCTAAAGGAATGAGATTTTATGGATTAATTCACACATCTGTCGATTCAATGCTGAGGTGGTTAATACCATCTAGAGGCTGCACACGAAAAAAAAAATAAAAAATTCAATCCATTGATCACTAAAACTCCCTGTTTTCTCCCCTGCAAAATCGGTAATGACGATTTTTAAATAAATGCCCACTAGCAAATCCCAATTTTTACACTACGATTCCGTCAATTGATTTCAATTCTAGATAAAACTTGCCTCATCTCCACAGCGAATGCACGTCGATTCCAAAAATCGAGGAGAAAAGTCAAAAAAAAAAATTGTATCTCCATGGAAAGAAAAAAAATTCCCACACCCACGTTACCCCTAATAAATCCCAATCACATCACAGATAGACCTATCATACCATCTAACACTCCATAGAAAACCCCTCGTTTGGCAACTTTATACAAAACACTATACAGTAACATCAAATATCAATTTTCGACTGAAATATCGAATAATTATCGTCACACTAACAAATAAAAATCCCAAAATCCCGATAAAAATACATCTCAAGCCGCCATTCGACGATTTTTCGTCTATCCACAACCGTAATTACCGAAATAATAATGAACCCCCGATAAAAATGATAATTAATTAATAAACCTTGACACTGTGTCATAAAACCCCAAACGATGACATTAATTTGATAATTAAAACCTTCACTTATCCACAAAGCACCAATTCTCCTGGTTAATCTCGATAAAAATATGTGAAATAATAAATTGATGATAAATTGAATAAAATCGGCACTTCACTTTGATTTTCCCACCCCCTCCCAGCACCAAATTATTCCCTTTCGGTAATAATCACGCTAATCCTGGTAAAAATTAGCGCGAACACCGCGAAATTATGATTTCGCAATCACTCGGCGTTATCACGATATAAACTGAGCACAGCCAAAATGGAAATGGTAAATCGTGTGGTAATTTAGATAATTGATGTTGTAACCCCTTTCGTACACATTTAACACACAGCGAGTTAGGATTAGGCACTTTGCTATCGACTAAGAGCCACTGCAGTCACTTCTTTTCATTGTTGGCTCTCGAACCTCATCGTATTTCTTATCAGCCTCCTCCGCGAGGAATCTAGCCTCCTTCAGCTGATTCTCAAGGGCATCCATACGCTCCTCATCCGCCAAACTCCGGTTCTCGAGAATCTTCCGGGCACTTTGTAATTCATCAAATATTCAATTAGATCGTAAGGATATTGTGAAACATTATACAAATAATCACGGTGGTCTCGGCTCTGCTACCTGGTGAATCTGTAGCTGAAAGTATTGGAGAACGAACAGAAATCAATGATTTCGGATTTATCGGTGATCAATTATTATCTGTTTGCGCCAATTTATCAGGTGACTGATTGCTGTTCGTTTAGGATAGATAGTGATTAGTCGTCGTCACGCAAACCCACCTCCTCGTACTTCTTGTCTGCCTCCTCGGCGATCAGCTTGGCCTGAACCAGCTGTTGCTCCAGGGCAGAAACCCGGTCGTCTTCCATATTCGTGCGATTTTCAAGGGCCTTGCGTATCCTGATAATATTTTTATTATTGAATCATGCACCGAAACAATTTTTATGAGAATTGACTATTCTTTGGGAACATTCAGTACGCGATATGTATTGAACTAGCAGTGATAAGAATGAAAAATAAAGAGATCCAAAAAGTTCTCTCAATTTTGCAGACAAGAAATTTCACGAAAATTGGCAAATGTTTCCCAATATTCAACACCGGACTTTTTTTTTTTTTAAATTTCGAATGAATGAACGATCTCGTATCTTTCAATGAAAAAAAATTGATAATTCCGGCCTCTTTTAGTATTATTCGTAAAAAATATCTATTTGATTTAAATAAATCATCTTTTAGTGTGAAAAATTGTTTATTTAAGAATGCACTTGCGTTGGAAGTTTCAATGGGTTTTCCTTCTAAGGCCACGGGACGTTTCATATATTTTAATTGATCAATTTAGATGGAATTTATGATGAATAATGCAGGACACGTAGTACCCAAATTTGGGAGTGAAACGTCATCTTGTTCAGATATTAAATGCAGTATTCAAGGAAACAGTCGATTAGCACTGGTTTTCCTTTCTTCCAACGCCAGTGACTTCCCCATCGAATGAAAAAGAAACTCGAGCTGATAAGATAACGCTGAACTAACGGATATCTACGAAATTCCTCGAGGAATTTAACGTGTTTGAGGGATTTTTAGCGATGAAATTGGCAATGGTCGAGTGTAATCCTCGATTTGTTTGAATTGGAATGAATAAATGAATAATAAATCACATTCTACGCCGATGAATCATACATTTGCTCGTGGAATAGTGGAATGGATCCTCATATTAATATTTAATATGAAAGACATGAAGAATTAAAAAGAAAACGAAGTGTTCATCTTCATCCACTGTATGAATTCATTGAAAGAAGTGTCTTGCGATTCATAGGAAATAACCTTGAGAATTTGCTCGAGTTTCTTATCATCATGAATGGTCATTACATCTACGAAAATGACTCATCGTTAATATAAAAATAAATCTGACTGTTCGTTTGACATTTCGCTGAACTTTCGTAGTTTTTCAATCAAAGATGTGGCAATTGTCAGTTTCTCATTAAATTTTTATTTTAAATGTCGAATCTCAGATCACCTTGTCGGATCTCGTTTGAGTCCTCGGTGATGATGAGTCATCGAGATGTCAAGCGATAGGGAGAAGCGCGTAAACAAGATATTTTTCAAGTGAAAGGTTTTGTAAGGATTCTTCTCGCTTGGTCATCGAAGGGCATCGCGGATATTACCAAATTTGTCGATTCAGGGTACTCAAGTACTTTCGTTTTATTTCCAAATTTCAAAATATGAAACCTGTTCGAATTGCGGTGGATATATATCAAAGGATATCCTCATAATCGAATTTAGAAACTTGAATATTTCAATAATATTCGATGTTTTATTAAAAATTTTGAAAGTACTTGAATATTCTCTGGACGGACCAGGGAGAGGGCATGTTTCACGACAAAAATTGTACTTAAAAGACTCATTCTCAGGAATCCAATAATTAATTGTTAAAAATTAATTGACTGAGATGATGGTTTTTGGCGGAATTTAATGCCAGAGTAACAAAAATTCAGGAAAAAATGAAAAATTTCAGATTATTTTATTCCTGAATTTTTTAACAGTGCGTGTAATTAATTAGAAATCGTTTTAAGCGCTCTCCCTCATCCCTACGATCGGATATTCTTCAAGAATTAATTAGCATGAGTGATGAGAGGGAATTAATGACTTACCGTTCGCTCTCATCGGCGGCCTGGGAAGCCTCAGCAAGTTTGGCAGTAGCGGTTGCAAGACGTTCCTCAGACCTCTCGAGGTCCTCCTCAAGGAGCTGGATGCGACGATTGAGGGCTGCAACCTCAGACTCAGCCTGAAAAAATTAATTAAAAAACCCAATCAGCGAAAAAACTTAAATACTCCATTACAAAAAAAAAAGGAACATCTTCGATTATCGATATCTCGTGAACAAGTAACCCGATTTAGTCGAGTCAAGACTCATATCAAAGAGTACAAAAAAAACTATTATTTGAAATAATAAATCAAAAATTTCACTCAGCCATTTTTGAGATATATACCCACGATATGTCGTCTCGTTTGCAACACCTCGCCGCGAAAACTATTTTCTTATTCCGGTTTTATCTCAGAACTGCGCGATTGTACCATAAAGCGTTATTGAAGTTTTTTGTAGGTAGGGAAATTCTCGGCAAAAAATTCCAATAGTGTTTTGCTCTCAGACCACTCAGTGCTGAGATAATTCGATAATTATGGGGGGGCGATAATCGATGACTTTTCACTCTCCCACGACTTCAGCTCGCATTGACGTTAAATACGGGGAATTGACGTGACACACGTGACAAATTCAAATGGTGGAACGATGAATGAAAAAAAATACGTCCCACCCAGTCTATTGTCAAACTGGGACACGCTCAAGTGACTCAAATCGAACGAAATCGTGTAATTCACGTTCTTCCGTAAAACGAGCCCGGAAATCCGTGTGGTTCATGAACTCGTGATGATCATTACACGCTCCCTGAGTTTCCCAGGTTAGATGAGTTATCATTCATGTTAATTTGTCTGGTTTGCACCCCAGAATTAAAATTTCCAGTCATTCCGGCATAATTACATTTTGCAGGTGAAAATAAAAGTCACCAGAGTCTCGAATTAAGTTTTTCCTGAAAATCTCGGAATCAGCAGGAGATAGCGAAATCTGTAAGGGAGCTTTTCTGTAGCTCTCATTAGCACCAATAAAAAATTCCTCTCAACATTTGCGCTATCTCTTATAGATTTTGAGATATTTCCCAAAAACATGAAAAATAGAAATTTCAGAGTTCGGATTTTGGTGGATACCTCGGGATCTGGACCAGATACCGATTTTTTTCATATGACATTTTTTCTAGAAAAAGATGAGAGCTAGAAAAAAGCTCCTGCAAAGATCTCCACATCTTCATTAGATCCCGAGATATCCGCGAGGAACTGATCCTCAAATATTGCTTGTTCAAAGAATACTTGAATTCTTTATTTCCATGAGAATAAAAAATAGTCTAATCGAATCAGAATCGAAGACCTGATTGAACAAATTGATTTAAACCCCAGGAATAACCACACCTACTCCAATGGCCAGTGGACTGTCACAAACTATTCAAATCGATGGAATTTCCGTTTTTTGTTGAGAACAAGAGAACAAAAACCCGATGGAATACCAAAAATCGTCTCGATCATTCAATTATTTTATCTCATTAAAATATTTTACGCGATAGGTCGAAGCTCGATTGATAGGAGAAGATGCCAAATCGACATCACGATCACTGATGAATCGAATGAGAAAAAAAGTCTGGGTAATGAATTAATTCACAGATAACAGTGGGAAAAAATTATTACAGAGTGCAATTATGCAACAGACCTGTTAATGCTAGAGCCAGTCTAGAGCTAGTTATTACGTGTACACAATTAGCGCCAATTTGCCAGGATGCTATGAATGGCTTCAAGTTCATTCCCCTCAAACTGGTGTTTAATAAACTACTAAATATTCTTCATAATTTTTTTCCACGACAAATAACGAGCCTTAAATTATCAGCGAAATAATTATTTTAAGTGATCGACAGATAACTTTTAATTCAAGAATTCGCATGGTCTTCAAATATTGGCGATTATGAAAGAATGAAAAAAAAAATCAAACGAGTGCTGAACGATCTGGAGAATTTGAAATTCAGCCGATTATACAGGAGCAAACGAGTTCATGGTGAAAAAATTAATTAAAAGGGGGAATTAACTGTCAATAGGTTGATTCTATGTTTTCACAATGCACACGACGTTATGTATGCACACCTAACCGACATGCGACCTAGAAAAGTCATCGGATCGAATCTAATCGGATTACACACATCACTCCCTAAGAATTCTATTCTCGTGATTTATTCTGGAATATTTGGAGAGATTGTTCGTACAGAATTTCAGACCAGAGATCGACAATAATATCTTGTCTTAAAAAAAAAATCGAAACCCTGAAGAGCTGAAATTCCGGAATTATTTGGTGATTTTATTTATCTGATAATTCTTATCTCCAGATTTTCAAACAGCTTCGCGATTTTAATTATGAGTAGATGAAGTATCAATTTGGATAATTGAGGGATGGAATAGATTTAATAATATAATATCAGATATTTGAAATTTTCAGTTCAAATAGGGCGTAAGTCGTGTGGAATTCGAGCTAAACGATTCGATTGTAAAGGGATTTGAATTTTAAAAAAACGAGGAGAAATGAAAAAATGAGAAACAAAACATGAAGAATTAATTTTTAGCTTGCCGATATTTTTTGCCACTCACATCCCTCTACTATTATCCTGTCAAGCCGTACAGAGCTAGAAAATTATCTTTGGAATCTCGAGTAAAAAATTTCGTACTTTTTTATCTCGTGAATCTAATGAGATTTCTCTATATTATTTTCCTGCAAAAATGAGATAACATCTTCTGAAAATTCAGTCAACGTCATTATCTAATTATCGGATTGGATTTTTGTCGAATTCATTTAGATGCACGATTGCATCGATTCTATCTGAATTAAAATAAATATTTGATATGAATTTAAGAACGTTTATAGAAGAGGCCCCCTACGAAAAAGACCCCAAAGTTCTGAACCCTCAATATGGAAATTGATGGGAATGAGAAAGAGTTAGACAATGAGCCGATGAGATCACGAGCGTGACTAATGAACAGAGTCATTAGCCCTGTCAGACTAATTATATCTTGTAACAAAATTAATAAATCAGTCTGCGTCACTCCCTGGATGGTCTAAAAAATAACGATGACGCCGTTTAGCCAAAATTCACGTTTTCAATATTTTTCTGGCGAATCCTCGATGGAATTGCCTTAAAAAAATGAAAAAAAAAACGTGAATCCTGACAGGAAGAGTAGGAAAATCCCAATTCCAATTCCGCCAATAATAAAAACATGGCCCGGCTCTCGCTCAAAAAAATATCAGTTTGTACATAGAATTTTCGTGAAAATTCTGGTGAGTCGTTCCCTCAGTGAAATTCCTCCGAATGCCAAGAAAAAAAGAGCCCGAGAGTTGTTCAGGGTCACGCAGTGTCCGGTAAATTGCCGAAAGAATGTGGAAAGGAACTTGACATCGAGAATGCGCCTAGCGAGAGGATTTCTCTCTCTCTGCCCCCTCTCGATACGCACTATCGATCCTTCCGACGCCGGTATTCTCGAAATTCCTCGAAATACCTCCCACTCTGTATAATCTCAACAACCCGCCAACAACTAACCATTCAATAATTCCAACAAATTCTTCCAAAAAAAAAGTCATAAAAATCACTCACTTCCTCGCGTCGCATCACTTCCACCTGCAACCGCTTCTGATACTCATCGCACTCGTCCTTGTACTTCTCCATCTCCTCTTTGGTCTGTCTCATTTTCTTCTTGAGAACATCGAGAATTGTGCCCTGCGCTTGCATCGCCATTTTAAAGCCGAAATAAAAACTCCTAAAAAATATGGCAATTCCCCGGAATACGATAAACTTTTTTTTTTTCACTGAAATCAAATCGTGGAAGTTGTCACTGAGCCCACGATTGTCGCGGGAATTTTACTTCAATGATTTTTGGAGGGGTTTTTATTATTTATTGTTGGGTTTGTTGATTTAGTTGTTGTCGAGGGGATTGGGAAGTCGGTTTTTGTCGAGTGCACGATTTTGTTTGAGCGGTGATTTTGCTCCGAACTGTCGTAACACGAACGACCACTGACTGGTGGCGATTTCACCCGAACAAAAATGGCCGAATCCACACCATTGTGCACATGACGCATGCGCAGAACGTCCTGTTTAGGGAAAAATGCCCGTGAGAAAAGTAGTTCCTGGAGGAATTCTCACGTTTTTTGGAGAGAATTTCGAGGATTTTCCGGGATTTTTCACGATTGGAAAAACCGGTGTCGATGGTTTTGCGGATTTCTCGGGGAATCTGCGGGGTTTTATGTTAAAAGTCAGGGATTTTCCCGGGCTGTTCGCGCGCATGAGGGATTACGCTGATGCTGACTGCCCCGGAAATACCGCGCCCGAGACGATGCGCGCCATTCGTTTGAATGTGGCATGGCTTTTTGAATAATTTTTTCCGAGGGCCACGGTTTTTTTAATGAAAAAAATCATAAATAATTAAATTCTCAAAATAGCCAAAAAGAGAGTAAATAATGTTGTTAATTTAAAAAAAGAATCAAAAAATTCAAATTTATAATTGTGATCTCATTTCAAATTTTTGGAGGCAAAAAGTGACTTTTTTCAAAATCGAATGTTTTCCATAAAATCACCGTAGATTTGATGTAGATTCGACGAAGTGGAAAAAACTATCCATAAGCCTAGGATTTAATTTAGAGCTCATAATTACATTCATATGATACGAGATAATGAGAATGTTGTCATGATGAGATGAACTCTGTCGAAAAATGTTCCACAAAATTTAAAATGTTTTTCCCAAGAGGAATAATATTTTTGGAAACAACTGAGCGAACCCAAACTTCTCAACCCCATCAATCGTAACTCTATTTTCGGAAGGCGTCATATGTGCATTGAAGTAGCTGCGAGAATCAATGGAGGAAAATTCAAATATCCTGTTTGGAGCGATGCCAACGATCGAAAAGTGGATTTTTAAGAAGAAATGTCTATGGGTTTCGAGAATTCTCGATTTATCCCACAGAATCCGAAAAGGAACAATTAAGTTCAGGTTCAATGCAGAAAAATCCACAACCAAATCCAATTATTAATTAATTAAGTAATTAAATAAATGATTTGAACGCAAATTGAATGAAAATTGATTACAAAGACAGACAAATGCTGATAAAGAAAAGGAGGAGAAAATAAAAAAATTGATGAGTTGGGCAAGAAAAATTATTTCTAGTTAGAAAAATTCTGAAGTGTTTCAAAATCCTCGGTCAGATAATTAACATTCAACTTGAACCATTCTAGTCTACCGTTCCCTAGTGGAAGATTGAATTTAGCTGGGACCTCCCTCGTTCTAAATTCTCTTTAACTGACGTGTGGGCGTTTGCACTCGTTTCATCACCCTAAAAATCAACCGAGACGAGTGACGTTACACCGCAAGAGACGTAACGTCAGGAGAACATAATGACAATTGGCAAAATGATAAAATTCCCCATGGGAATAAATTCTCCTTACGCAACGAAGCACCGAATTGAATTGAAAATCCACTGGATCATGTCGCGGTATTTTTAGAAAATCGTACCAAAATGACGAACGTGGGTGGCTGTATTAACAAATAAAAATTTCGAAGGTGAAATTTCCCCTGCATCACCGCCCATCCCGAAAAAAAATATCCTACTAAATATAATCTATGTGTCAACGGATGTTATCACTAATATTGTGATCACAGGACTCGCAAAACAATTTTAGAAATATTCCCTCAGCAACAGTATTAACTGCCAAAAAATCCACTTCAAGGGGAGATGTACGAAAACTTTGGAAATCACGGATTTCTCAATGAACTCATCTATAAATATTTTGTAGCGAAGAGGCTAAGAGTGAATTTAGATAATCGACAAGTTTTTGTGAGATTTATGAGACGAAATATGAAGAGATGATCCATTGCTGAAGAAATGAATATCTTCATCAATATTTTCGTGAAAAAGACTTCACAACGAAAAATAATTCCCCCTGTAAAATCTAATACTGACCCTCTTCAGCTGATTTCCCATAATATTCTGCAGTTCATTCCTGATAAGACTGAACTTCATCATGGTATCGCTGGAGAAGATGCTGGATCCAAAGGCAAGACCTGGATAATCAGCACATCGTTTTCGCCTCCTGGCCTCTCTCTCAGCCTGGACCTCAGTGCGTTCACTGGGACATCTGAGTTTAGCAAGTTCGAGTATTTCGAGATCCTCCTCAACAACTCCCTCATCATCGGAATGTCCATCACCCCTTGCCCTCGCGACCGCGTGCTCAGGCTCAGGGCTGCACTCTTTTCTCCTCGTCCTGGACATTCTCTTGGGTGAATTCTTATAATTCTTATCCCTCTCCTCGCACTTATCCCTCCCCTCCCTCTCATCATTATCATTCTTATCATCCTCGTCCTGCTTATCAGCCCCGATATCACCCAACTTGTTCGACCTATGACACTGGCTGTCAAAATTGACATTGATGTCATGAATATCATTGTTATCACTGATATCACTGATATCGTTGGACAGGTCACACTGCGCGGACCTCTGGATTGTTCTCACCAGGTGATTAGACCCAGTGACATCCAGCTGTTGAACCCTCACATCTGGGTGATCCAATGTGTCGTCAAGTTGTTGTCGGTGATGATCTCTCTCAGGATGACCTCCATCAGAGGATGAGGTGACAGGGCCACACTGCGCGGGTCCTCTGCCTCCTGTTATGTCCAATCTACGACGTGTCGTGTGTCGGGGATGATGCTGATGACCACGACGTCGCACTGTTGATGACAGGCTCTGATCCATGTCCTTCCCAGGGTTAACCACCCTTAATCCCCCCTCCACCTATCTACCAACCTACTGACACCGTGATATCTTTCACGATTTTCAGGCACTGCTACCACTGCACCAGCCACACCGCCATTTTAATCCTCACTGACTCCATCTGCATCGGTTTGCAGGGAGAGAGCACAGAGGGCTTTCCCCTCACGAGGTCGTCGGTATTTTTGTGATCGGCTGTTCCCCTCCGACATTCATACGACGAGAGACGAAATCAGGAACGCGAGACAGACTGAAAGTCACTGTGTGAGTTAAATCACACTTGTGACTGAATTCTATGTGATTTCCCCCACCTTCTCGTGGATTTTTCCCACCCCGACGATGGGAGCCGGCTCCGTCGATAAAGTAGGCCGCAAACGCGGGAAATTTTTTAGGGTTTGTATTTTTTTTTTCTTTAAGAGGTTATCCTGGAATTTTACGTCCAGGGTGAATGAGTTATAAATTCGCAGTGGGTTATTGAGGGAATATAATCGCAGAACGAGTTTTGCATTTTACCTTTGAATCTGCGGATTGATTAATTTCTTAACGCCTTCTGACGCAAATGTAAACAATGGCACGTCAGTTTTTCGTGGTGTTTACAATATCGTCGTTTTGTCTGACTCAATAAATACCTACGATGTTACTAATTCCGTACGAATTATTCAGAACAGATAACGAAAGAATGTTGTCGCAATAACCAGCGATGTGTCAACTTCGATAACCGGAGAATGTGCTAACGTATGTAAATTTTTGATACACGAGGAAAATTTCATTTGCCGAAAACAGATTTACTTGATGCAAAAACATATTGCGTTATCAATTTTCAAAGGGATTTTTTTCTTTACGATTATTCATGATTTGTAAATTTTAGTAACAATCATTATCAATAATAATAAGTATATAATAAATAGTGATAGCTAAATCAGTAATTGTTGTGTGGATTTGAGAAAAATTATTGTTTTTGCTCAAATTTCTAATTCATTCATTTTTAATGACTGACAAATGATAAGATAATTTTATTTTGCTTCGAGTAAATCTTCTTCCTGATTTTTTTTACAGTTTTTTTTGAGACTGTTTATTCGATTTTTTATGGTTTTTTTAATCGTTAAACTTACGTTCTGGAGTGCCTTGTCCTTCTCCTCGAGTTTAGTGTTGACCTGCATGAGGGCTTCCTGGGTCTGGTCGAGGTCATTCTCGATGGTCTGGATCTTCTTCTGAAGGCCACGCGCCTCCTCCTCAGCCTTCATTCAAGAAAAAATCGCATTAATCACTCTTCCATTCAATATCCCTTTTACTCCTTTCGGCATTGCAACATTCAAAAGATATATTTAATTTAATTCTAATTTAAAAATATGTCCATGATATTATTATTTTAACATTAGTGCAAAATAAAAAACAAACCGATTTGCTTAACGAATCAGTTGTCACGGAATACCTCTGAATCTAAGAGACATAGCCCATTTTTCATAGAAACCTTTTTTGTAGATCTCGATTTTTCCCGGAATAAAGATACCGATGAAAATTTCGCTATCTCCCGTGAATTTCGCGATTTCCAGGGAAAACCGGCGAATTATCGAATTGGACTCAAACCAGTTTATCTTTTCGCTATTTCAAAAATTTCTACTTGATGATTATTGATAAAAAAATTAGCGGATCACCTTTTCGGCACGGGCATTTGCATCTCGAGCTTGCTGCTCGCAAAGAAGAGCGCGATCCATCGCGTTGTCCTTCTCCAGCTTCATTCCCTGCATCTTCTTCTTGATGGCGTCCATGATGACTTCTCTGTTCTCTTACACTCGAAGAAAATCTGAAACATCGCAAAATTATTTTCTCTTATTATCGATGAATGAAAATATCTGCTGAAATATTTTCCACCACTGAATTAAAAAATCGCGATGAAAGGCGTTCAATTTTTCGCTTCCTTTTTTGAATAATCGTGCTTGCGATCGCTCCTGGTGGCTAGGCCTCAGCTTCCCGGGGTATAATTAGCAAAAGCAGTGAAACCCTATTTATAGAGGAAGGTCTTGGCTGCGAACAGCCCCGGGCGACGCCCTGTTGAGATTCCATCGAAAAGCTCAACTTGTCCGGTGGTTTATCCAGCGAGATCTAGATCGATCTCAAATTATGGTATCACCATCGGTTTCTGGATCACGGTGAACAAGAAAATTTGTGAGTGATCGAAGGTCGATCTCTAAATAGCGGAAACTACAAATGATCGAGAAAAATCAAATTTGTTTTGCAGGAGAAGGGATACAACAGGTTCTCTCATATGCACTTACCAAAATGGCAATATCTATGCATCTGAGAGAGATAGCAAAATTTTTATTAAGAACTTTTTTATAGATCTGAATTCCCTCTGGAAAACAGGTTCTGAGAACAGTTTCGATATCTCTGTTAGATTCCGAGATATCTTTCGAAAAGTCAACGCGTATAAATATCTCATCTTACGTCTCTCATTTATTGTGAATTTTTATTTTTAAGCATCGGCTTTTTATGAATAATAATGAAAATGAGATGTTTGAATAATTAAAATGGTGATACATATGATGCAAGATGATCAAGAAATGTACCAGGTGGAGTGGTGAGGGTGGGTTATTTTTACAATTGCGATGGGAGGGGGGTGTCCCCGTAAGATCACCATCGAACCTTTTCGGGTTACGATGCCAAGAAGAGCGTCAGAATGATTTCAAACGGTATCTTGTTACCCCCCGGGCTCTTTCTGGTATTTTAAACAGGAATTGCAGGTGGTGATTTGAGATTTAATTTTTCACGAGCCCAATAAATCAATCGGGGAAGCGATCTCCGGGGTTTGACAGGCGCTGCTATGGAAAAATAATTCCAGGACAGCTCCTATTTTATTCGTACACCTGAAACCTTAAACACCTGGAACTATTGATCACTGAGACAATGAAAATGATATCTCAATCTTCCTAGAATGTCTGACGAGAACCTCCGGATCTAATTTCATCGTATGAACGAGAAATTTTTCACGAGAAGAAATTCCAATTATCGTCGAGTAATTTTTTAACAATTATTAAATATTTAGAGGTGGGATAATAAAATTAACTGAATCCAGGGATTGACTCCTAAAGATTTGAGAATTGTAATGAATTCAATAATTGAATTAAGAATTATAATAAGAATGTGTGTATGTGTGTGTATTGGGGAATGGAATAATGAAATTGTTTTAAAAAATCAATTGACGATTGAAGAAAAATTTGAAGAATATGAGATTATAAATAAATCACATGTTAACACTCACATAATGTGATATCCTCGGACTCGGAGTGTCTGGTGCTTCTTTAATGCACGTTGGATGACGACTGGCGAACGAGATGATTCCCGAGTTTCTCCCCTACTTCCAAGACGCCGGTGCACGTTTCGAGAAAATCGGTTCGCCGCCAATGCGATATTCCCTTCCACCGCGGGTTTGCTGTAAAAAAAAAAAACGAAAATATCGGTGGAAAATAAACGGAAATGTATAGCCGCGGAATATCTTTAGATTTTCAACACACGAGTGGACTCAACGTTTTTTGGGAATCCTCATGTCGATTTTCGACCTACATTTAGGAGCGACACGATTTTAGGATGTAACTCAATATTTTAATTTCCTGAGTGGGCGGAGTGGAAGTGGAATTTTTGGTTTTTTATGGAATCATCTGAAGTAAATAGCGGTATTAATAAATTTTTATATTTCAAAGCCTTGGATTTGTCACGGTTTAACGTTGAGAAATCTAATTATTGAAGATTTATAAATAATTGAAAATCTGAAATTTCTGGAAATTAATGCAAATGAAAAGAGAATTCCACTTTTAATCTTTTAATGAAAAATATGAAAAATGCAAAACCAGAAATTGCAGATTAGTAATAACAATAATTTATTGACAATTGCCTTTCTTTGAGGAAGGACGGGGAAGGCGAGATCGCAGAGGTCGTGGATTTTTTGGTGTTGTGATACCCTGAGGCTTCCCCTCACGATCACCTTGGTCCACCAGATGCATGTCATGGTCAATAGCTTAGTCAACGATGTTCATATTGCCTTAAGAGTCAGCAAACCTCATCAAGCCCATTTTCGGAGTCAATGTGTCATCCACACCCTCTCATTTTTCAAAAATAACCAGTGATTGGACAATCAAACAATCCGTGGGCCATAAATCATTCCTGTCGATCATCTAGTTCTGAAATTTTCTTATTTTATTCAATCAGTACCTCAAATTCAATTTTGTATTCAATACAGAAGACTTTATTCTCCACTTGTTCCGTACAACCATTGGTTTATGTGATAAATAACGAGTTAATCATCTTCATGTACTAGTTAATAAAAAAATAGGCCTCTAGAATTTTTAATCCTACGCCACAACCAAAATCCATAGTTATGCGCTCATCTGGACAAATCAGACTTGGAATCACTTCAATATTGATATCGTCTAATAATACTGCAATGTCCAAACTTCTATTGCAATTTTATTTTGGTTGCGACTGACTCTGCCTTAAAAACACTATCTCATCAGAATTATCTCCGTTCGAAATAAAAAGCCTGAAGAAAAAAAAAATGAATCAATTAAATTGAAAAATTGGCACATTGTTGCAACATTGAATGAAAAAAAAAATATAAAGTTCGTTTGATTTAGAAAATCATATCAAAATGAAAAAAATGGAATCTCATTTCAATCTTCATTTAATTCTAATTAAGGCGTGAAATTGGAATGATTCAATGGACTTCCATTTTCGATGGACACGCGTGAAAGAAGTGAAATAGAATAATTATAATATTAACTTTTTATACGTTTATCTATTAACTTCAAAGATATACTTCTGTTATTGTCCTCGTAACTTTCAATAGAAACTTTCTCTTTACACAGCCGCTATTATCATTAATAATTATTAATAAAAAAATAAACATCTTTATTCCCACGCTCAAAGGAATTGCAAAACTTTTCAAAAAGTCGATGGAATTTGATTCAAAGAATCGGATTGTGATGGCAGTTTATCCCCGAAGAATGTTATGGCCTCTAATGAATAAAAGGAAAAATTGAAAATAATTTGAAAGGTACCAGACCCTATTTCAGAATAATTGGAATAATTGGTAAATAACTGGAGAAAAAAAAATAAAAATATCGATGTTGGAAAATCACTTAGTAGTTGCCCATTTTTCCTTTAACAAGATTTCGTGAATGAGGACATCGACATCTTGAATCGATACGTCGATCAGATCGAGTCCCAGGGAGAATCCAGGGGCTGTTTCGTCCTGATCAATTCTCTTCACAATTGAGACAAAATCTTTATTGACGACCAGCTCCTTAAATCTGATACACGCAGCGAGGGACCAGTCTCCATTCGCTGGCTGGATCCCATTAAGTCCAGCCTTGATAGCCTGACAGGGTAATTCCATGAACTCCTTCTTCAGTAGCTGTAGCTGTCCAAGTCCAATGACATTGATATTTCCAAAATCAGATAAATAAACAGCGACTTGCTCCCCCAGGATTTTATTAACTGTGGCCCTGTACCATATTCCATCCTGGAGCTTGACAGCATAAACCTTGCCCTCTTTAATCTCCTCCATTCTAAGTTTCTCCCTTACCCCAGAATAAGCAATCTGCATGCTCTTCATCATGGCCTCGAGCTTCTCTTTATCCTCAAGGGGTTGAACAACAAAATTGTCAGGGTTTGCAGCAGATTGAGTCACATGAACATCAAAGCAACTCTCAATCTCCGGAATTGTCGGCAGCTTCAAAATTTTCATTGAGGTCTCCCCCACACTTGCCTTGAAAACAGTCCTCTCAATCCGTTTTCTCGTTTTCACGTTGTTATTTCCATCTCCAGTCTTAGTGAGTTCAGGCTCGAGGACAAGTGTGTGATTGATTGAAACAAGTAAATTGTCAGGCTCAACTCGTTTGAATAATTCGACAACAGCGGGTCTCGTGTTCTCCTTCATCTGAACGACTTTGCACACTAGATGCTCCCCAGGGAGTGCTAATTTTCTCAGTCTGACAGCCATTTCCTCAGTGAATATTGCTCTCTTTACATTATTCAGTTCAACCTGGACAGCCTGAACTGGGAACCTGGCTACAGCCTCCGAGAGATCCCAGAGTTTGAGAAGCTTGGACCTCTCGACGTCCATCAATTCTCCAAAATCGACGAGTCTCATTCTGGAGTTTTTGATACCAGGGAATGCCACCTGAACCCTCACCCAGCTGCCATCACTCTTTTGGGCCAGATAAATTTCGTCCGAGTCCACAGCACCGGAGTGCCTCGCCTTTCTGACCCTCTCCTCATCCTTGAGACTCTCTGTTAAGGAATTCATCATTCCACAGAGAATATCCAGTCCATCATTCCTGATTTGGAGATAGACATCACCATTGTACTCGATGTGGGAGATAAAAACATCGAGGACTCTACCTCTACTTGCCAGTTGCACCTCCAGCTGTGACAGCTCCATGACCCTGAGTATTTCTTTAGTGATCCTCTCATTCATGTCGTCGTCGGTTTCAGAACTCGTGTCATAGAAAATCCCAGTGATAACATGACTGACATTATCCTCCTCTCGACTGAGTGCCTGCAAATAAAACGTCTTGTCCACCAGGAGTTCTCTGGCGATTCCAGCGGTCGTGTCACAGACAGTGATCTCCTCATTTGATCTGAAGAGAGAGACTCTGATGGCCTGGGCTGGAACCTTGAAGAATTCCGTAGGAAGAGAAAGTAATTCCGAGACGTCGAGCACATCCTCTTCTCCAGTGTCCAGGAAAAAGCACTTGGCCTCAGAGTCTTCCAGGGCTTTAACCCTGACCCTCTGCCACTCGTCCTCCACTTTAGTCACATAACACCCGTGAATCTCTACCTGACAGGGACTTGAATTGATCATACGTGACGATAATTCCTGACACATCTTGAAGAACTCCTCGTTATTTTTATCCTCGAGCAATCGAATCCAAATATCATTGGTGCTCTCTACATGGGAGACGTACACAGGCCAGAGATTATCCTCAGGAAGGATGAGGGATGCAAGTCCCTGATTTGAGGTTGAAACAGAGTTCACTGGGTTCTCTTCTTTGCTCCTGCAGATGATGATAGCATTTTCCACTACCTTCTCCAGAGATAACTCCCCCGACCCCTCCACCACATCCATCCAATCACTCGGCAGTAACTCCTCGTGTTTTTCTTTATAGAAAAGAGGGAGTTTCTCCATGAAGACACCACTGGGATGGACATCCACAATATCCACAATCCTCTGGAGTATTACATCCCTGTCTGTCGTCTCCCTCATCTTGGCAGGTGGTCCATAAAGTTTATTGAGAGCATTAAGAGCAGCAGTTGCTGATAATTTCTCAGCCTCATCTGTACTTGATGCCTCCAGGGGGAAACTGTTGTATTTGTGATTTCCACCCACCTGAACTCCACTGAAGAAACTGATTTTTCCACCTTTTGATTTCGTCTCGAAATTTTTGTATTCAGGCGCTGAGAGGTTGAGACGTTTCATCAGAAGACGCAGCTCGTCCCTGGGATCGCTTTCATGGGGTGGTGTTAGGGGTTTTGAATGCGAGGAAATGATGACTTTCCTCTCAGGAGATCTTCTCAGGCGTTCGCTCAGGGGTCGAGCGAGTTTCAGGGGTGGAGGGGCTCGAGAATTCCTGGGGGCTGACACTAGCTGGGGGAGGCTTGTTTGACGGGAGAGATTGCGAGGATCAACTGCTCCATTTGACGATTTCTGGGCATTTGATCGAGATTTGGGACAGGCTTGGGACCCTTGCGGCTTCTTCGGCAAGGACTGGGGTGTTGGGGGGCATCTTGTTGATCTTGTGGTGTCTCGGGGGACATTTGGGAGTACTGGCCTCCTCCAGGATGTCGGAACTCTCAAGGGTTTCCGTTTTTTTCTTGAGGTTCTCTGTTTTTTAATCAACTCGGCGAGGTGCGCTGTGTTGGAATCTGGAATTACCTCCACGAAAGTGATACCTCCACGCTGGTACTGGCGCAAACGAGGCACTTTCGAGATGAAGGACTCCAACGTCTGGAAGCCCAGGCGACGATATGGAATATTCTCACCTTCCAGGGAATAGTAATCACGATTCACGTGATCCAGGCGAACTCCTCCCTTGGAGGTGATCAAGCAGGCTCGAAGGGTACTCGCTACTTCGTCCATTTGTTCCACGGGAATTCACCTGGGGGATTTTTCTGGAATTCACATGTGGAAAGGTCTTATTAAGTGAGAAATAACATTTAAAAATTAATAGGTTAAATGTAATCGTTTGATGAGGTACAGTAAAAAAAAATAATTTGAACGATAACTCTCATCATGAAGGAAACAGGACTTGTTTATCATATAGGACTTCCAATCGTTCATGAAAAAAAAATAAACAACCTTGAGGGTCTCTTTTAAAAGAATGGAAACCTAGTCTCGCCAAAAAATTCCCCACAATTTTTATGGAGACCTTTTACGTAGCTTACATTCCACTTGACAGGATAAATTATGAGAAAAAATTTCGCTGTCGCCGTAGATTCAGAGATATCCCCCGAAAACTCGATCAATCAACAAATCGACTTATCTTAACCTATAAGTTGTTACTATTCCCTACCGAATGAACTTTCCGACATTTCCAAAATATCTAATATCCATTTGCCTCACCTTCTCGCGAAATTAGTTCACAGCGAATAAAAAATAATTGCAAGTGATTATCAGTAGAAAAATATATAAAAAATGGACGAATGACGTGTATCAGGGATAAAAATATGAGATAGGAAAAATTAAATGGAATGACTACCATATGCTATTCATTCCTCAATTATATTTTCTCTCGACTGAACGGACTGATCTGAATGTATGGTATGTTCGACAGGATGTAACAAACTGTTCGAGGTCACGTCTTAAGGAACTAGATTGAGGCTAGGGTTTTTCGATCCAGGATCGATTTCTCACATCGATTATTCTGACATCGATACTCCATTTTTCAAATCGATTTTCGCGGATCAATCTTTTTCGTCGTGATCGTTATTTTCGGTTATCCATTGTTTATTATTTATTATTTATTCTTTATTTTTATTGTTATTATTATTGTTAGGAGTTTCACGCCTGTCAAGACCAGATGATAAGGGTACGTCATTTACGGATATTATTTGAAATTGATAATTTTAAATCGAAAAAAGTAATTTAAATTTTTTTTCTGTAATTTTCCAATTATTTGAGGCGTAGTAGGATATTTGAACTGAATAGGGCTCAGGATATTTGTCTCCGTCAAAATCCATTATGGTAATTCATACTATTAGCGAATTGTTTAAGGACATTCGATGGGTCATGATGATGGCAGGTCATTAGGGTAATGGATTGTCTGAGTTGTGACTGCAAGTCATTTCATTTTCTCATACCTCTTCAATTTCTGAGTACAAACCATATGAAAGAATGGATGAAAACAAAATTTATTTCAGAATTTGAATGGCTGAAATCAAGAAATTATTTTGTTTATTATTATTTAATTTTGAGTTGATCATTTTATTATAGTGAGACTCTTGGGTACAATTCCATTTTTGTTATTCATAAAATTGTTTACTATAATTGGAGTTGCAATGTTTTTTTAATTGGGTTGAATCAACTGATGGGCTCGAGCGATGGTTGGAATTGAATTAGAATAACAAGAGATGTAGTCATATTACCAATCATCTGAAATTCACAGAGTTAAATTGATATTCGTAAATAATTAATATTGACACAAGATACATCTGTGTTAAAATACCGCTTGCAACAGGGATGAATTTATGGGAAAAAGACCAGCGCCCGAGAATTCAATCTTTTGGTGATGAAGCTGAAGAGACAATGAACGGATCTGAAAAAAATGAATCAAGCCGACGATTAAATAAATTCCATACGTAAAAACCGCTAGTCCCTAAATTTGCGAAACAAAAGCTTCATCCGAATGAATAAGTCTTAAATAATTATTAATAATTATAAAAATTGAATTACAATTTGATAGACTTTTGACTCCGAACTCTCAACATACAGTTCATGAATTAATTTTCCAGTGAGGGCTGCCTGAAATTCCATAAATAATTGGCATGTGAATATTGAATGATTAAAATTGAAATTTTAATGTCTGAGGAATTTTTATCGGAGTACCTCATTAGACGTCAAGTTGCAGATGATAACTGTAATTACTATGGGTAATGTAGTGTCAATTTCCCAAGAAATGTACGTGCTTATTGCCCAGTAATCAGTTTCCTCATCCTTCACAACTTCGCTGAAAATAAAGTAAAGAGACGAGCTCATGATGAAAAATGCTGTGACAACCATTACCACCAAAACCGGGCTGAATAATTTATTTATAAATTTCGCTATTTTGCAGAGATTGTAGTGAATCTTGGCGATCAAACGAATGCTCTCGGCGCATTCGTTGGTGATTTCGATGACCTAGAATCAATAAATATTTTGTAACCCCTGAAATTTCCAACTGATAAATGAAAATTGAGACATAAATGGAATCTCAAACGGATTTAAATCGCATCTGATAGGATATTACATTTTTGAGGGTTTCATTTGTTTAAACAAATAGGAAGACAGCACCTTTGGTGATAATGAATTATTCCTGTCTCTCACGGCCATCATCTTGATATTTAGCTCTCGGAAATGAAACCCGAGAATAATGACAAAACTTCCGAATATTGTCGGGATCATTACTTGAGCCATCGATGGAACATTCCAGAATAACCATTGCAAAAATACGTATACTGTGTACCTGCAATGCAGCCACAAAAAATCTGACGATTAATCCACAATTTTTATTATTAAAAATACAATTATCAAATTACACACAGAGTAATGAATAAATGAATTTCAATTCAAAAGAAAAAATATCATCTTTTAATTTCAGTGACACTGAGAAAAAACTGAAAAATAAAATTCCGTCTTATTAGACTCAAAAATTAATTTTTCATTCGTTGGATTGAAATATTTTTTTGCGTGTGCGTTATGTAATTATTAAAATAAAAAATCGTGAAATATCTCACTCTGATACCCATCGTAAAGTACTAGATATGAAGGCCCACGTTATCAGGATCGACATAATTGCAAGCATTCCATAAACTAATGACTTGATTATCCTTAAACGACGGACGTAATCCAGTCTACAGCCTAGTTGATTCAGAATTACATTCTGGGATGCCAAGAAATCTACTGCATCTACGAACTTCCCAATAAAATTCAAATCTTCATTTTTTGACACTCAAATTTTATCACTTAAATAATTATCCAACAGCTCTCTCTTTTATCATTTTAAATAAAAAATCGGTACAAAAACAACTGTCGAAATATATAATGAAAAGTATAATTATTTTGAAATTCGAAAATACGATTTCCTCGTACATCTTTCCGGTATAAAATCCACATGATGGAATTAATCAGCATGCACAACAGCCAAGACGTTGTACGAACAACAGCTGTCATCACCATCACCCATGAATTTTTTCTGTCAAAAGAAAAAAAAATTACAAAGACAGTGAGAAATTATTATCTTGGATGCAAATCCTTTTCTAACATCCACAAGATTTTTAATCTAGTACAACTCCAGTACCTCATTTCATTTGTTGAAATATATTTTTAGTTTTTCGATCTAATTAAATAAATAAAGTACCTCAGAATATTCGTCCACGTGCAAATGGCTGTCGCAATAAATCCAACGGATGTGAAGAATAATACCAGGTCATACGCTATGAGAATTTTACTGAAGCAACATTTTTTCATATTACTAGAACCAACGAACAACATTGGAAAACCACCAACAGCTTGCCATACCCAACTGACACTATCAAGAGCCGAGAAGAGATCAATCCTCCGTTTCGATTTCCCGAATTTGTCTAAACAATTTAATATTATTCTATTTTCAATATTATATTCGCTGGCGGGCAGAATTATTTGATCATATTTATTGAATTTCGGAAATGAAATTATGGGGTTAAGGATTAAATTATTAAACCGATTTTTTCACGGAATAATTTATATTCGTAAATTACCAGTCATCCACGTATTCTCCAATAAATTGACCCCCATTTCTCGGCTGTTGTCTAGATGGCTTGATTCGTATTATATTTGATCTGAATTCCTCGCTATCCCAATGGCTTTGTTTCTATCGAAATCCATCATGCCGATCGATACTATCAGCCAATTGCCAGTGGAAATTATTCTCCTGACAGACAGTGATAAACGCGTAATGCATCAGTTTATATTTACGCAACGAATATAGACAATTTTTGATCAAAATGATATTTATTCAACATTTAACTTTCTATAATCGTAAACGAGTAAAGGTCGCCAGTGAAACCTCACAATTCCAATTAAAACTACAATCTAAATGCGAAATCGGAATAAAATTAACTAATTACTTGTACAATTATGATTATAAGAATAATATTGAGGTAGAATCTGGAGTATAGCATCGAGGCACTTCCTTTGTACTTAGTCTCGGATAAAACCTTAAATATATATTAATTACAAATGATCCTAAAATAATCGATCCATGATGAAATCATTGCTTCGTTCTCGCTAAAATGGATTAATGAGAGATTGAACGCTAATAAATTAGCCTGAATAACGAGCTTAGAATATGCATTGATAATTTTTCAACCGACGAGTACGACGGGTACATTAGGGATAACGTTAGTACGTAATATGTACTTGCCAGGATTCCATGGTTTGTTACCAAATCATCTTCGAAGACATGAGACTCTAGAGTAGATGAAACTGAATCTCTAGGTTCGCATATCCCAAAAGAAAAGAATTACAATGAAATATTCTCATAGATCGACGGTAACTTCATATTTATAATTAATAGTCTCGGTGGTAACTGTTTACGGAATACAATGACGTCCAAATGATTATTTAAATATATCATCAGTCTTATATATCCCATGACCGATTGAACATTAATATTTACCAGAAATTGCGTATTGAGCAACATATTGCCACAGTATCCCAAGGCCACATTCAATTTTTTTTACTTGTCATCTCATTACGATTTAATTTTTAATCTTAAAATTTTTATATAGCAAACATGATAATTCCTCCTTGTAACATCTCTTTCTAAATTATGCTATCGCTTGTGATGGGAGAGTTCTTCCAATTTGTTTTCGCGAATTCCTGGGAAGCCGTGGATCAGATTGTCATGGTCTCTCAGAAATTTGTGAAAAACTTGAATAATGGCCACCGAAGAGCCACTGCACACATTTTCCAATTCTTCGATTCCTATATTTACATCACAATAGATTTTTAGGCTTTATAATAGATTCCATCAAATGAATTTCTACATCTCTACCACAAAAACCTACATTACATAATATGAACAATTCCACTACTCAATAACCATGAAAACCGATGTGGCTATTGTCTTCAGCGTTTTCGATGCGCATGCTAGAGAAGTCTTATAATGAAAACGTAAAAAATAAATAATTGAAACTGAATAAAAATCTGAATAATTCAAATATGACAATTATCTGATAAGGCATACCAGTAATTGCCCAGATATCAGTATTAAAATTTAATCAGAGATTTATCAATCTCAGTTTGAACACTATATAATTTTCAGTCCATTCATCGCTCAAAGAAAAGATAAAGTCCCTCTCAGTCTCATGAAAGTTCGTCAATCACTCACGTAATCAGTTCTGGGGGTGAGTTATACTTCTCCTTGATGTGGTACTCAGCAGGTGAAGTAATTACACTAGTTCGGACTATCGAATCTCATCAGAGCATAATCCTGCATCAGTGTAGCCCTCAACTCTGGAGTGATTCACCCATTTCCTCCTTACTATGCTGATTACCAGGTGATACAATGACATTTGTCCGCTGAACCGAGAGATCCTGGACATCATCCTGAATCGCCTCTTGACTGTCATCATGAGGTGTAGAACAGCGTTCAAGATTCACTGGACTAGCATCAGAATTTTCAGATGGCTGATGAGTATCCTCTTGAGCCATTGGGCTGGGACTTCCCTTTATGTTCTCCAGGCTGGCTCCGAATTTCTCAGACAGCTGTGGACCTTGACCCTGGGCCATGTCCAGAAGAGCCATCGAGGCGTCATCGTGATCCGACATACTTCTGTAAATATCTCCATTACGATTGCCACCAATTCCATGAGGGAAAGCACCGCTGCTACTGCTACGATGTCGCTTGATATTTCTTTGGGTTCTGATGCCCATCTTCTTCACCTTGTCGTAGAGAGTACGAGAGGGAATTCCCAAGGCTGTCGCCACTGCCAGGGCGCATTCACCATTTTCCACTTGTTTTATGGCTTGTGCCATCTGCTCTTTTGAGTACAGCTTGTAATTTTTTCCACCTTTTAAAGAAGAAGCATTGAGATATTACGGATCGAGTGCAATGATCATTTATAATAAGAAATTGAGATTTCAACTTACTGCTCTTGCGTTGTTGATGCTCCTGAGATGATCTTCTCTTCGTTCCCTTTTTACTTGAGACGTCGGCAGTGAAGGCGCTGTGTCCGTTGAACTCAGTTGGTAGATCAAGACTGTCATCGACGGGAATGGGGATTTTTGAGCTGTCTGGGTGCCCCTGGCCCAAGACATTCCTCAGGATCTCTGAGTGCCGACTGTGTCCGGTCTCTGAATGGCTGGGAATATAAGGTGGATTCAGTGTTGATGATTTTCGACCCAGAAGAGGACTGAGGACCGATTCAGCTGCCAGGGAGAGATTGGTCAAGTGGTTAACGCTTTCTGAGGGGATGTATGGAGCTCCACTACGCGGTGATGACGCGTACTGCTGATACGGAGCAGACGTGGAATGTGCAGGTGAACGTGGTGTCTTCAGGTCTCTACCATTTGGAATGTTGTAATCGGTGCTGCTGATGGTGGGCGATGGTGAGGGTGATTCATGAGTATCCTGGGGCTCGTCGTTAATCAGACCCTTGACCTTCAGCAGTTTTGCCACCTTGAGCAAATCATTGAGTCTCTCCTGGAGAACACAAATTTCACCCTGGTACATGTACTCGAGGATTGCCTCAATCTCCCAGAATTTAACACCTGGTAGCAGAAGCATCAGGTACTGCTCGTGAGAGGGTGCCTGGGTAAACAACTTCTGGAAGAATGTCGAGCACACAGCAAGCACTACCCTGTGACACTTGATGGATGTCGGACCAGACTCATCCTCCACAACCAGGAGAACATCGGTGAATGCCTGCTTCTGGAGAAGCTCGTGAAATGTCGATTGGAGATGTGTACTGTGATTGTTCCACCGGAGGCAGTACTGCTGCTGGAATTGTGAAGACTCCATTGCCGAATGAGTCAGCCTGGAATTTGAAAGAAGACCTTCGTCAATCGCGAATAGTTCAGAGTTCATTATCTATGTAATGGATATTTTGGAATGTCATGTGATGATCATGTGCATGACTCATGGCGAACATGACATTCAAGGTTGAATCACTGGCATTGTAACTATGACTCACATTTTTGGCAGTTTCGAGTGCACCATTTTTTAATAATAAAAAATTGATTTGTCTATTTTTAAAAATTTCTGCGATAATTGTTTTTGCAAAATTGTAAAAATTGAGTAATTTGTTGAATTATGGGAGAAATGGGGGAGAATTGAGGGAGAATTGACCGGTAAAAAAAAAAAATTTCGAAAGAATTGTTTATAACATTTGATTCCACGTGGTGCTTCGTTGACGGTTGAAAATAGTATGCGCAACTACTTAGCAAGGCCAAAACTAACAAACAGAACCCGGAATATACCCATTTGCACGTGATTGGTGGATCTCACCATTCAGGGACATCTGCAGACATTCGGTTGGTGCAGAAATCCCAGGCAAAAGTTAATCCCTGTTGTTTTCGCAATAACAACAACAAATATCAAGTATTTAATGATTATTTTGAATTATTTCAACGCGCAGGATCTGCCAGTCGCTTCAACTCCATTTGTAGAAACTAATCCAATCATTAAGTTCATAATTACCCATATTTTTCATTTATTTTGGAGACGATACTTTTGATCGGGTCTGTCCTTACACGTGAAAATGTATGTGTAATGACGCCTTAGTTACTTACACAAATGCAAGCGTCGCCATTTCTGTATGTACGACTCATCGCTATTAGTTCTCCCCTCCAATACATTTTACGGAATTGATGTTTTTCGAGTTAAATATTACGAGAATAGCGTATTTTTTTAAAAATTAGAAACAATTCTGCGATATGTCTGGTACTTTGTTGTTATCATTGATGAATTTTTTATTGAATTCTGAGAAAATATTCAATCGCAAAACAAGATTATCTTCGGAGCTGTTCACACACTTTGCTCCGCCCATAACTCATGTTTTGAAGATTCCACGTTACTTTGATTATCTCAACAATTAAAAACTTAATTTTATAACTTGTTACACTTTTGCGGAGGTTTCGAGGATATCAGCAATTTTTTTTTTCAATATCCCGACGCTTTCCGATAAAATGTCCACTGCGCGTCTTGATATTAACGCACGTTGCAAGTCTCTTCTTTTGCAAGAAGATGTTCATTTAATAATTATGTATTTATTCAATAAATAACGAGGATAATGAATCCATATTATACATTCAGTTATTTAATCTCGACATGAATCTCCTGCGATTGCTGGAAATTGTCGGAAAATGGCGACTCAAAAAACGTAAATAAAACCGATAAACGAGAGATTAAAAAAATCGATAATTTTGTTTTTCTCGGAGAACTGAGTAATGCGTAAAATAGTGTGCAATAAAAACTTACGTTGAGAGTTGCGATGTAATTAGACTTCTGCGACGCGCAATTTCGGCGTCATCAAATGAAAAATTTTGAAATCGCCCGATGTGGTGAAAACTGGCGAGCGATGTTCTGGGATAAATTCAAAAATTCCAGATAATTTTCCGTTTTTCCAGGTATCAGCACAGGTTGCAATGTGAAAATGGAATAATCATGGGATAAAATGGAGGAAAATGTACGAATATCAAGTAACCAAGTCAAGATGGTGCACGAATAACGACAAACGTTGAAATGGTGTATTCGAAAGACTGGAATGAGGGTCTAGGGCTTGGGGAAAAGCCAGTGCCAGGGATTTTTCGGTGGATGGTAATAAAGGACTGGGAAAGGTCGGATGCCCAAAATGGTTGTGCTGGGAGAGGGGAAAAATCGGCTTTCCCCTCTTCCTCGGGACCTCAGACGCCCAGGAAAACCAAGGGATCGACAGAGACACATCATGTGAAAAACTTCTTGTGGAGGGGGAGAAATTTTTAGGTACACACACACGTATACGCATCTTTATCTAATGTGCACTAGGTGTGCGATGTGCATGGGAAATAGAAATCGTTGGAAATTTTAATGGCCATTTCAAATTATTCGGTCTTATCTCTCCTCGTTTATAAGAAATGCTATTAGAGGAATTACTTGGTAATTGTTAGAGTTATTAGTGTAATGTTTATGGGAGGATTTTGCAAATCGATACGGGGGGAATCATTTAGTGGATTCGAAATTCAAAGGGAAATTTTATTTGTTCGAGGAATTTTATGGGATTTAGCAGGAAATTCAAATTTGTCGGTCCGTTGCGAATTCAGGGAAAGGAATTGTAAAGTTTTGGCGAATAAATATTTCATTCGGGGAATTTATTTTGGATTCAACAGGTACGCGAATTATCTTACTTGATAATCTCTAGGTACTTCAGTGTTTTTCGATCATAATTTCATTATTCTTATGATTTACATTATTATACTGTCCCATAAAATTATGTAAACTAAAAAATAGAAGGGGAAAGAAAAAGTCGCGAAATGATGACCCGAATTTTCAGGTGTAAATGTCGCTATCTGTCTCAGATTCCAAGATATTTCCTGAAGACTTGATTAAATTGACGTCAACAATTTTCGGAATGAAGTGTCGTGCCTGAAACACCATAATATTTGATGACCGAATTATGAAACACTCGCACTTGATTGAGCGGTTTTTTTCTTCACTTCGGTGAGACTCTGTGTGAAACACCTGCGAGAATTCTGAAAAAAGGCAGAACGGAAAGTCTATCCCCACCAGAATATTTCCCTCAACTTTAGGGTCGAAAAGTTATCGCATTTTCCAAAGAGAAACCATTTCCCACTGCCTGCAGATAATTTTTTTTATTGAAACCTCCATTGTTTGTAATAATCCCAGCGAAACAAAAAGTAAAAAACCATTGGGGAGTATTTCATAATTTCCAATCAATCGCACGATTAAACTATTTTTTAAAAATGATTCATCATTATCAGAGGAATATTCTGTTATCTGCACTCTCTAGGGAATCCATACTTTAAAGAAAGAATTAAAATGTTGAAGGGATAATTTTTAATTAATTGAATTTTGATACGCGAAAAAACCTGCGACATTCCCTTAAATCTATTTTTTCATTCGGCGTCCACTCGTACGAAAAATGGAAAAACTATTGTTTTGCAGATAAAATAATTTGTTGTGAGTAATTCGCGAATTTCAGACTGCTAATTACTGGAAATTAATTAGTCCGACAGAATTTACGGTGTGGAAAAAAATAAGGCTACCCACACGCCGATGTCTTTCACGTGATTTTACTCCTTTCTGCCATCACATCGGCGAGCGCAATTTATTCGCCATTTTGACTAAAGCAACAATAAACCCTGATAAATGATATATTTTTTTATTTTTACATATAATTGATCTATAAATATTCAATATTTATTGAATAATTGAGGATTTTTAATAATATAAACGTCGGATGGAATATAATTACACGTCAGGACTTTTGTCAAATTTCCTTTTGTGTAAAGTAAATTTGGGTGATAGAGAAAATCTAGAAGCATTCACTGAAGCTTGATGATTTTTCTCAGGTGCCTCTTAGGGAATAAAGAAATTGAGAAGTTAGAAAACTCGTTTTGTGCATAATGGACCACAGGGTTTGGTTTCACCTCAGATATAAGAACAGACAGTATTTGAAGGCCGTTGACCGACGGACAGGTACATTTTGACTATCGATACTGTACTCTACCTGCCTCAATACAATACCTTCCCCAGTGGATCTGTCTAGATGATTTCTCAAGGGACAAGGGATTTTCCCGTCGACTGAATTCCTCCCTGTGAATTCTACCCCAAGTTATTCATCCTTACGCCACCAGATGATTTATTTCAATTTTTATTCAGAGATTATTTGGAAAATGGAAAATTGGAATTTTCGTCATCGAAATAATTCGGATTTTCGCTTTTTCGTGTTATTTTTAGGGTCGGGGCCCAGGAAATGGAGTTTTTCCTGGGCCGCATTCGTGGGCCGCATCGGTGGGGACCGGTTGCAATAAAAAATGGCTGAAGTGGGGGAAGACGTCGACTCCGAAGGGATCTGAACAAAAAAAATGATGGGAGAAAAAAAGGCGAGGGAAGGTAGAAACGATAGTGAGTCAAAAATACGTGAAAAAGAGGGGCCTAGATAGGCGTGGGGGACTTATCTGTTTGAAATTTTGGGCCCCATGGCAAACCGGTCTTTTTCTCTCTCGCTCTTGCACTCTGCCCTTCTCATCCCTACGGTTTTCATGGAATGTAACACAATGTAAGGACTGCGGTGTTGCCCCACGCATGCACAACATGTGTCGGCGGTCCCCTTCATTTTTCCACTTTGCCCTCATCCCCATCGTCTTTCTGGTAGATGCACAGGAAAACTCCAACATTGTGTGAAAAATTTACCATCGCGGAAATCCACGCGAAGTCAGATGAATTTTTAATGAAAATTTCGAATTCTGTCAATGAATGAATTTGTTCTGATGAATTTTTTTTTTACTCGAAAATTGGAAATTATGGAAAATTTATTTTTGCATGACAAATTAAATGGAATTCTTTTGTTGGATATTTAATTGGTTTGGGGCAGGTATTCGAGGGGACAATGGTTTGCATAATTTAGAAAGTAGTGGGGCGATTGTTATTTTTTGATGAAAAGAATTTTCGATTCTTGGCTTTTGTTATTTTATTTTTTTGCTCTTTCGAAAATGCAAATTTTCTATTTATTCATTTTTTGGGTGTTCTCCATTAATATTCATTCGTGCGAATGTGAAATTCACCGCCAATTCGTTGTGATATCGAGGCAAGCTAGGGGCCCTAGATCCTAGATGTGGGGATTTCCTTTGGGATCCCCCGGTATACGTCTCACAAATGAATCCGCCGTTCACTCAGGAATAATTTTTCTACCACTATTTTTTTGCAATAATAAAATAGACTTTACTTTAGAAATTAATTTCTTTTAAGACTTGATTTGAAGTGCAAACCGAGAAATTTCTCCGGATTACCTTCTCTCAAGATGAAAAAATTTTCTAAAGCTGTCAGGTATTATAAAATTAATCAAGTCTGCACATTATTATTAAGGAATATTACATATTTTTTATACTCAAATCACATTAGAAATATACGAAAATTAAACTTTATTACCACTAATTCAATAATTATTTTATAGGTTGGAGTAAGGATGAGATTTTTTCTACAATAAAAATTATTTGAACAAAATTATGCGCATCATTATTATAAAATTTGAACGTCATTGTGAAAAAAATGTAAATACAGTAGAATTACAAGATGTAAACAATCCATTGGGTCATCCGGTGAGGAATTGAATTCCCATCCAAATAAAGCCGAAAAATAAATTTCTTATTCGAATTTCCTATTAAAAAATGACTATAACGCGACTATAACGAAAGTCTACTGTACATAAATAATAAATAAACAATCAGAATCTCCTGTACTGATCCCTCTGCTGATTTTGTCTATTGCACGAAGTAAAGGTTGAATATACGAATGGCACCATCGATGCAAATGCCAGACAGAGAGCTACAATTGGCCTGTACCACACCCAGGCAAATCCAATGACTAGAAGGCTAATCGACATTGATACTGACATTGTCATTGAATCAATAGCTATAATTCCACAGAGAAACGAAGAGTTTTGGATAATCGTTGTCAAAATATTGGCGAGACAACTAGCTGCGACAAACAGAACAAGCCACCCTAAGCCCCTGTAACGAATAATTAATTTATCAATAACTCAATTAACTTTAATTCAATGTAGATATTTTTCTATGAAATAATCTGAATAGAATTATTATTTTTCAATCATTAAGAATTGACAGCAATTGATTAATCATCACATATTTTATATTTTTTAATTACCTGATAGTCCAAGTGCGCCAATAATTATGCACATGTTCCAAATGAAACATTCTATCAACTGTAAGTCTGTGTTTCCTCTGGAGAAGGATCTCCTCCCCCCTGGATGTGACATATGGAACAATTGTTCCCTTCTCCAGCTTGCCCACAATTGAGAAGATCTCACCGACTTTCCCAGCGTAAGAGAATAAAATCCTCAAGTCACCAACCCGTGGATTCCACAGATCTAAAGAGTGATAGTAGAGGCCAGAGTGCATTTTTATGTCTCTACGCTCTGGTCTCTGGTCACTGGTGATCTGAATGAAGTCATTGAACTTCTTCTTCAGTTCCAGTCCCAATTTTATCACACCTATCCCTGCCTCGTCTGCTATCTGGACTTGACTCTTTATTGCGACTTCCTTCGGGTTCTCGTGACCAGTGCGAATGTAGAATGAGTCTGAGTCGATCAGCTTGTCACGCCATTCGGTGGTGTAGTAGTAATTTTTGTCTTCTTGGATTTCACCGGCATAACTATTGAATATTCAATATTTTGAATAGAAATTTTTATTATGAAATATGGATTATTTTACGACGTTTGGAGGATATTGGTACCCGGATTTTTTATCAGAACTTACGTTCTCTCCTCTTCGATTTCCACCCACTGATAGACTTGAACTCTTCTTTTTAATTTAATCCCTTCCACGATAACTCCATAATCAGGCTCTGTGAGGGGTTCAGACGTCCAGATTGGTCCAGAAAGGTGAACCAATTTTCCGTCGTACTCTGGTGGAATTTTCTTCATGTCTGTGATCGTGGCCACATTTTCCAGAGCTTCGTCTAAGGATCTAGCAACCGATGCTGCTTTTCCCTATAAAAATCCCAAAGTCAAATAATTCATTAAATTAATAAAATTACACTGAAACATTTTTGATGAAGAAGGTGAAATGAAATAAAATTTTGTAATCAATTATTTTTGTAAATAACTGGTGTATCAAAATATAGGGATTCTGTTACTTCATTCCAAAAAAGGAGACACATCCCAGTGGCAAATAAAATAGATCCAATGATGGCTGTCAACCATGACTCCCTCAGCTGTTCTGCAATTGTCTGTGGAACTCGATTAATTCCAGGTCTCCTCTGATTCAGAGGATCAGTCTCTACTGATTCACCCCTTTGAGATGCTCTCCTCGTCAAATTTCCCTAGAGGTTCACGAAAATAATATTTCAATTTAAAATCCACTCGAACATAGAATCTATATCATAGAATATTCCTGTAGGAAAATGTTAAAATACGTAAGAAAAAAATGCACATTGCGATTGTCTCACGTTATTTCGATGCATGTCGTCACTACAAGAATTCCTGAAGTATTCACAGCTGAAGAAAGTCAACGGAGTCCAACAATTGGCAAATATCCAGAACACGACATTTTTCAATATTATCCATATTACCTAAACTCAAAGTGAGGTTAACAAATCATCCAAAGTCCATTGAAGGGTGAGAACACCAAGACAACAAATCAGTAATCCTCTGTCTTGTCATCCGATAATATCCCAATTATTTTATCAGTAATTAACATTCACCTGTAATGACAAATGAAAATATTGTTGAATAAGAACTTTTTTTAAGAGGAATCCCAATAAATCATGCAAAAAAAAATAGTTTAAGATTACCCTCATGTTCAAATGGAAGTTATCCTTTAGAGAAATGGAAAATCATTTTATAATTTCATCACTTTATTTGAAATATCGAATTTTATGGGCTGTAAAAGGAGACAAGTAATAATCCTTTCAACAATAAACGATTTATTATCACATTTTCTCTCGATAGAACAGATCCCTTCATTTCCTGGAAAACAAATAAAAGCTGTATCTTTGTTCTCCTCGACTGTAAACACATGTGAGGCATTCAAACACGAGTCGAGGTGAGTCTCCGGCTTTTACAGAATTAACATATTTAATCTTGATTAATTGACACGATTATTAGTGTTAGATCGTCATGGCGTTTGCAAGAAGAAGTAAAAACGTTTTCTCCTCAATTTGAGCCATGAGAAACACAATGAGTTGACGGAAAAGTGTTTCTAACCTTGAAAAATCGTTTTCCACAATCAGAATTCAATATCAGAAATGTTGACAGAAATCTTGGAATTTTGTTGAATTATTATTAAACATTGATCGATGAAAAAAATAATCATTTTAGTAGAAAATAGTGAAGGGCTTTTTGGTCTAACATTTTATCTGGTGTTCTCACTGGAAATCAATAGCTGTAGATATAAATTGGCGATTTTTTTGCTTCCGAATGGAAGCATTGCAATTTCTTTATTTTTTCTCAATTTTTACAAATTTTTCAAAAATCTTCGGTTCAAATTTTCATGGAAAAATTAATTTATCCCTCGTCAATGCAGATGGATAATACAAAGCTCCTGTCAGCTTTCGCTGTCCACTCAAAACGTCGTCGAAGTGCTGAGACAACCCCAGGACCAGCTAGACCAAAACGCACACGTTCAGCAGTGAGCGAGTCTCAAAAGCCCGAGATCTCTAAGACCTCAAAACTGAGTCTCTTACCTCAAGTGAGTATCGAGGACATCGCAAAGACCTCGAAGAAGACCCCTAAAAGAGCTACGAACGGTATGCAAAAGACAGTAAGTGAGGATGAAGAAATAACACAAAAGAAGAGTCCAAAAAAAAAGAGGAAGTCAGAGTTTTCGGCAGCAGTCAATGGGAAAAATGCAGTTGAGGTTGAAGACGTTGCTGTTGCTACCGGAAATGCCTCGACAGTCACAGATGAGATTCCAAAGATCAAGAAGGAGGGGAAGGGAGAGCAGCAGGACAAGAGGAGCTTGAAAAGTGAGAAAAATAAAAGATTGAGCAATTCAAAAGTTCTTCCTGACGACAAGGCGAATGACGAGCGAGAGGAGATTTTAAATAATATCAATCCACTGGAAGAGGCTACCACTCTATTCAATTGGCTCATTCATCCGGTGGTGAGCGATGATTTTTTTAAAAATCACTGGGAGAAGGCCCCTCTCCACATAAAACGCAACAGTTCCAGCTACTACAGACTCCTGATGACAAATTCACAGATTGACGATATTCTTCGTCGGTACCACATCCTCTTCACGAAAAATCTGGATCTAACCGCATATGTGAATGGAAAACGAGAGACATACAACCCTGAGGGGAGAGCACGTCCAAGTGTTGTATGGGATTATTACTCGAATGGGTGTTCAGTTCGAATGCTGAACCCTCAGACATTTATTCCAAAGCTCCACAATCTCAATGCCTCCCTCCAGGAGTTCTTCCACTGCTTCGTAGGAGCTAATTTCTACCTGACACCTCCAGGCTCTCAGGGTTTTGCTCCCCACTATGACGATATTGAGGCATTTATTTTGCAAATCGAGGGTAAAAAACGCTGGAGGCTTTACAAGCCGAGAAATGTCTCTGAGTTCCTCCCCAGGTATTCCTCGAAGAACTTCGATTCCTCGGAGATTGGACAGCCCATTCTCGATGTTGTTCTCAGTGCTGGGGATTTTTTGTACTTTCCCAGGGGGACGATTCATCAGGGGGAGACCCTGGAGGATGCACACAGTCTTCACGTGACCCTCAGTGTTTATCAGAGAAATTGCTGGGGTGATTTCCTGGAGAAACTCGTGCCTGAGGCTCTGAGAACAGCTATATCTGAGGATTCAGATTTCAGGGTGGGACTGCCTTTGGGATATCTCAGGGATGTTGGGAGTGCTTATGCTGGGAGGGACAGTAACACCAGGAGGATGATGATGGAGAAGACTAGGGAACTCCTGCACAGGATGATCGAGAAAATCGATCTGGATAAAGCAGCTGATGAAATGGCCAAGGGACATATTCATGATTATTTACCACCGGTTTTGGCACCTGTTGAGCTGCAGTGCTCTGTCTGTGAGGATGGCGAGAGGATGGTAGGGGCTAAAGTTGTTAATAGAGTAGAGATTGAGCCTGACACTATGATCAGGCTTGCCAGGCAACATGCTGTTAGGCTGATCAGGGAGAACAATACCTGGAGGATTTATTACTCTGCTGATAACACGAAGGAGTACCACGAGGTCGAGCAACAGTTTCTCGAGGTTGGGGACGAGTACGTGACGGCTATTATGCAGATTATTGAGACTTATCCAGAGTTTATTAAGGTCGATGACTTGGAGATTGAAGGGGAGCAGAATAAGGTGAGTTCGGGGGACTTTGAAATTTTTTTTCTCATGGAGATTCCACTGACTGAAAAATGAAGAAAATTTATTTTATTTTTTTATAAAAATGTAATTAATTATAATTGTTGGTTAAGATGATTTTTTTTTATTGGTTTCAGATTCAAGTTGCAAGAGATTTATGGGAAAAAGGTATAATCCTCAGTGATGTGCCTCTACCAGTATTGGATTAATATTTAAAAAATGTTATAATATAGAATCCAAAGTTCTAAAAATGAGTTCAAAGCAGAACTAAAATTATTTCAGGGCAATTTCATTCAGGCTTATGTTTAATAATTAGATAAATCTGTGAGTCAGATTAATTATTCTCAGGACAATCTATGGGATAGATTAATTTTTAGAAATATCCACGAGGACCAATCGATTAATATTTCAAATATCTTTATTTTTCTCGATTTAGCAATAACGTATTTTTTTCTTTGTTTCTTCATTATTTCAGACGCGACATTAATTAGCAGTCAATAGTATAAAAATATGAATATTAGATTTCGAGTTTCAAGTCTTTTTGAGGTTTTTCAGTATCGCCACCGGTTTTTTGTCTAGCTAGGACATATTCGATGTACCCCAGGTATCCGTCGTGGTCAAGATCGTCTTCCTCGAGGACTCGATCTATCAATTCTACCCAGAAAATCAATACATTGGATTTAAAAAGAATATTCAATATTGAAAATTCAAACTGAAGTATTTCAGTGATGAATATTTGGTTGATTAGAATAATCAATTCTAATTTCTTTTTATATTTTTAGTTATTCATTATCATTTATGTTATTCGATGAAAATCCACTGCAATATTTTGTAACTCTTACCCACAATAAATGGAATTTGACTGGCTTCATCGACTACTTCATGGTCATCTTCGTCGTGGTGAAACGAATGTTGAATCGCGTGCAACATCTCTAGACCGTCGAGCTTTGTGTTGTTGTCAACATCATGAGCTCTGGTGATTAAAAAAATTATGATTTGGATAGATTGCGATTAAAAAACTCCACTGATAAATAATGACACCAAATATATCCATTATTTATTATTTCCAGAAAATGAAAAATATTATTTCGCGTAACAAATCCATATTTTATCAAATTTAATTTCACCTATTGGATTATGGGATTGGATTATTACTTACTGGAAATAATAAAAGTCTAGTTGCTGCTCAGTCATTTTAGATACGTCGATTTCATTGCCGAAATCGCCCATGTCCTCTATCAAATGCCTGCAAAAAATTATTAACAATTTTTCTTTAATTCAGGGAATTAAAAAAATTGAATTCCATAGAAAATTCCATTTGATAGTTACTATAAAAAAATTCAATCATAAATATAAAAAGTGATTGAATGCTCACGCAGTGTCATGCAACAGTTGTGTATCCTGTGTGAGTTTGACATCCCTCTGGGGTGTATAATGATGATGGGAGACTGATCCTCGAGGATGATGAGGTCCCCGGAATCCGTAAACCGCACATAGACACGTACCAATGACAATCAATCCAAACATCTCCATATTATCCCTGTAATCGTCAGATAAATAAAAATCAATGATTAATTCCCTGGCATCATCCAGCGAAGCCTGTGTGGGTACAATGAGACCTGCTGGAGTCTGATTTCGCGTTAAAAGTACTCAAGAAGAGGGTGAAGGAAAACGCCCCCTGGCCATCGACAGATGGGCCGATTTGGGGGGTCTGGCGGTAATTATTATGCGATTACCCACAAGCCCATTGATTTACATCGGTGGACCGTCCAGGGGGTTCCACCGATATGCCAGGACCGATGAGAGATAGAATAGGGGAAAGTACTCCCTTGGACGGAAATACTTGTCACTCGTGTCTCAGGGGAGCTCTTCGTCAATCGTAAACAGTATTTCAATTTTTATGAGTGATATCCAGTGATGAAAGGGTTCGCCCACGAAAATAAGTATTTTATAAAAATTCTTTCCGGAATTCAAGAATTCCAGAAGATTATTCGCTCGCGAAAGATTCTGGGGAAAATTGTCAATATTGATGAAGAGAAATTAATGAATAGGATAAAATGTAAAATACTATTGATTTGAGTTTAGTTTTTCGGACAGGTGAAATGGTTGGAGTGAAAAATCAAATGTTTTGACGAATGTGTTTATCAGTTATTCTGTAATATGAGTGAGTATTTGAAAGTAGGTGTAAGGGAGACAAGTACTCTTGTGAGGTACTCGGATTTAGGGTGTACTTAGGAATGAAGTGAATGTACCGATGCATATGTTGATTCGAGGGGGTTGAATATATCCCCCTTTTTTGGTAGTTGCAAGTGGACCCCCATGGACACTCAGCCCCCTGTATTGGGTGCGAAACAGTAGAATTGGAGACCAACACTCCCTTTGGGGTGTCGAAATCCATAAATAATTTATATCATTTGGTCCATTCAGTGGGAGATTGACAGAGAAAAAAATTGCCGAACAAATGCGATGGACATATGTACCTGTCTCGCCTTACGACTCGTTACAACAGAAATTTCTATTTGCTCTAATAATTTTCACCAACAATTTTTCATTTAAGGACCGGTTGGATTATCTGGAAAAGATAATTTACTCCAAAATTGGGATTCCTAATTACTCTGGCAATTAATCGTTTTTTTTTTCAATAATTGTTAGCTAGCGTTCTAGCGGTTGTCAACGACTAGAACGCTAGTTAACAATTATCGAAAAAAACAATTAATTGGCGGAATAATTAGGAATCCCAATTTTGGAGTAAATTATCTTTCCGAGATACTCGATCCGGCCCTTAAACTCATTTGAACTTTCATCTTCTAGTTCTCGATAATTTTGTCTAGATCTTTAAATTCAGAAATCGGTGGATATTTAATGAATAAATTATTTTCGTGCAATAATTGAACTGACGTACCTCAAAAGTTTAAAATTCCCGAAACATTTGCTCTTCAATAAAATCAGATAATCCCTGATAACATATCCCTATCACTCTAACCGATTCTTTGAATTGATTGAATCAGTGATTATTTTATAGAATACCTGATGACAAGTGGAGTAACATGATACCGAAATTTCTAGTGAAATGAATTTTAAATAACCCGCCATCGCTTGATCCTGCGTCCGTGACTATCTGCCTAGATCATCTGATGTCATCCATTAGTTTTTTCAATTCTCTTTTATCTCGTCTCTTGAATTTTCAAATGATTTATTTATCTCTTTTTCAAGTGGAATATTTTTTCCCTTAACCCACAGAAATATTTTTACACTATTTATTTTGCGTTTCGACTACAAAAATATTTTTTATGCGACGCGAATATTGAAGGATTATTTGTAAAATAACTTGGGGTAGGAATTAGGTGTGGATTGTTTATATTTACTTGATTTTTGTTGTTGTCTTTGGATGGAGGCACTACCCCTTCTCCTGTCACACGATTTCACCCCCAATCCACAGGTTTTACAGGTGTTGATCTTCCCCAGGCTCAGGATGATTTTAACCCGGCTAGTTTCTACCAAGGGTGCGCTGTCATCCAGCCGAAAATTTTCCATCCCCCGTATCCTCGTACACCCCAACGATTATCGACGTTTTTAGTCAGACCTGCGTCAACGCAATCCTGCGCTCCACTGTCTATTTTTTTTCTGTCACTCGCACTTTTTTTTCAGGACACTGCACGAAAAAGAAAATCAATTCGATATATATTTTCGGTTGGCTATCGATTTTCATCTCGGAATGTTCTCTCGATACACTCTCGATATCTCGATTTATTGATGGATATGTATGTATAAATCGATAATATTGATGTTATATTGATTAACGTAAATGATCGATTCGGAAATCGAATTTTGTGATTGAATACTCAATATTTTAGAGTTTTTCGGTTCAAATTATTTGAAAACTATTAGAATTTTTATTGAAGACTTCAACCAAAAATTTCCTACATTTATCAATTCCAAAAAAATCAAAAACGTCGTTCCCAAAATAAAAAAATTCCCCCGGATTCTCAAAAAGCCGCTAATCAAAATAGTAAAAATAGTATAAAATCTGGAGTAAATCACTTCTAAAAATGGCCACCAATATTCTCCTGATCCAAACTAGAAAGAGTAATTACCAAAATGTATACTTCACTCTCATTAATTTTCCCCCGTAATTAGCAACGAAAAAAAAAAAAGTTCGGAAATGTTTATTTTTTGTTTTATCTCAGGCAAGTTTTGAGTGGCAATAGAGGGGCGAATGCAGAGAGGGTGGGATGTGGGTGAGAGATATAGATACGAAAGTTTTTGGTGGGGGGTATGAGGGTAAAATGCGGGTGAAGGGATGGCGAGAGGGAATGGCGCGAGGGGATGAAGTGAGAGGGTGAGATACTCTGAAAGCACAGAGAGGGAAACAGCTGGTTGTCATGACAACGAGAGAGCGTAGCCTAAAGCTATGCTTTTATTGATTCCAAGCCGCAAACAATGTACAGGAGTGTAGATGTTTCGCCCTGTCCTCTCATCTATTTCACAAATTTCTTTTCTATTTCACCATTTACCAACAACAAACCCAGCAACAATAATAACAACAAAATCATCTGGCGGAGTAGTCGAAAAAAATAGCAAACAAGTGTCAATCTCTTCTTCCAATTAATAATTAAGTCGTCCTTCGTCCATTAATAATTAAAGTGGAATGATGTTGTAATGCAATTTTTTTGGGATGAGCAATTGCGGACTATTTTCATGTGCAAATATTTTTCCTGCTTCTTCCTTTTTTTTTTTTCAATGGAATTACGAGGAAAATCGACAGATTGGGACAATGGCAAGTCCTTGCGAGTCATCGAACTGCAAATCGTGTCAATCCGAGATCGCATTTAACGTCTGAATGGTGATGGAGAACACCCACTGGGTTTTCTCGTTTCCAACTTTTTACCACCCGGTGTTACATTTCGAAGTGAAAAAAAATGAATTGGAAAATAATTGTTCGAAGTAGCTGTTTGCAAATTGTCCAGATCATCTGACCGTTAAATTCTCCACGGAATAAACCAATTAACAAATTTTCTCCTTCACAATCAGATGATTCCCGAGTTCCTAAACGAATCAGAAAAAATTCATGATTTTTCTCGGTTGAAATTGATATCTAAAACTGCAATAATGAAGATTCAATTAATCATGCTGAATGCACGAATGAATCCGCGGATTGTCATCTGAATTGAAATTCCCTAGAAGTTCTCCACCATGAGGTGGACAAATTTAATCACCTGGTAACTACCAATAAAGTATTAAAATCCATGCGCGAGTGAATGCGATTGAAAATGCGCGCACATTCGACAATTCTGACGCATGAAAATTGCCCAAAGGGATGCGCCATGAAACCCAGTGATCGATGTTTTCGTGCATATCCTGGTGATCGGTAGTGCTGGCAAAACTGTCCAGTGAAATAATATATTCATAGCTTCCGGATGGTTCAACGTGCGTATATACGATCTGCATCCCACTCCATTTGGTGGAATTCACCCAACCACCCACTTCCTCCCACTCTCCCACCCCCATCCCCCACCCTCCCAAACAACCACCCATCCAACCACCCACCCACTCTTTCATGATATCAAACTTCGACCTCTATTTCCATTAATCACCAAATTACCAATAATAAAAAAAATATTTCAATATATTTTCCACACGAATATACAATTTTTAATATATAATTAATTATATTATAATCTAATATCTAATCTGTTGTTATTATTATTATTTATATTCTGAAATATTATAGTGTATTATTATTATTAGTAACATATTCTTTTTCTGTCTCGATAATTTAAGGAGGGGAAAGAGGGGATACATGTATTTATTAAATTGTTTGATTCTATATAGTTTAGGAAATATATACTATATTATATACTAGAATATATTTCATGTGGTTCATGAAATTCAGGGATTTCTTAACGTGTCTGTGCCCCTCGTTAAAACCACTCTTCCATGGACGAATGGGTTGCCACTTCCGGCAACCGTTCAACACATAGACGAAAATTTTATATACCACCAAAGGTAAATACATAAGCCACGTACACGAAGTCATCTGTACGTGTTACACTGCGGCTAGACTCAACTGCGTCCGTCGAGCGATCGGCAATTTACTTATCGATAAAAAAAAAAAAGAAGTGAGGGAAAAAAAAGGGGAAGAGTCAGGTCGAAGGTAAGCGGGCAAAAAATATCCTGGAGGAGTACCTCGAAAAATAAAAATGAAAGATAAAAAAATATATAACATCGCTGACTTCGTTTGCTTCGAGCATTATTTTTTTCCAACATTTTTCTCATCCATTTCTTTTTTCTCAGCCCCTCGCTATTTTTATGGCGCATTTTTTTATTCTCTCTTTACCCTCTTTCTTTCATTTTTTTTTTTCGCTTGATAAATGCAGCTAAGAGTCGAGGATTGTGCCTCTGGGGCAGGGTGGAGAATATTATTTTTAAAATATTTTAGCTAAATGGGTTAACGTGAGAGGCTTGAGACCACTGAGTGGTTCATACATGGTGAAGGTTTAAAAACATTAGTTGAAGGGCAACAGGAAGATCTGGGGAGTTGGCAAAGAATTTGAGATGCGGTTTATGGGGACCGGGGGTTATTATCAACCTTTTCTCCCTGGAGTCATACTTCAATGGAATGAGGTAATTTATTTGGCAAATTCAG